GGCGGCGGACTGTGCGCTCTTTCCGTTTTGTTTGCATGGCGTGTGGGTTCCGGGGACCGAACACTGGTTAGTGTGTAAGCCCCACCGAGGGCGTTTTGACGCGATTGGTGTCTGGCCGCGCGACCGCCGAGGGCGTGACGTGACTAGGCGACCACCAGCGAGCAGGCGCACCCGCATCGTGGAGTCACAGTGCGCTCTGCTGTATTGGACTGTGTGGTACTGTGCTGTGGGGTCCCCAGTACCTGAGAACTGCCTGTGGGGTGCCTGAAGGGGGGTTCCTGGCTAGTTCCAAGGGGGGGAGAGTGGAACATACTATGTCCTTGACCTGCTTGTATGATGGGACTGTCTGAAGCTGGTGAAGGTACAGATCTTTGAGCATCAAGTACTAATCGTCAAAGCATCAGCCATCTGCTGCAAAATTGTCTGTACTTTGTGTGCCTATAGTGGAGATGCACTGTGTATGGACCAGTGATCAGTGAAACATTGTCCATTTAGTCATTGTTCTGTGCTTTGTTATCTCGCTGACCTGTTACCTTCTCTCGCGAACTTGCCACCCTGGTCAATGAGAAAAATGACTAGGCCTAAGCAATAACACACAATGAGCACCGTTACATGCTCGCGGCATGGAGACAATTTGTAGGATTTCTGTTAGAGAAAATGACAAAAGGGGGTCCTCTGAGAGATATCTTGACAAAAGGGGGTCATCTGTGACAAAAGGGGGTCCTCTGCAGGCGTGCATTTGACAAAAGGGGGTTCCTCTGACCGAACCCTGTACATTAGATGCGCTGCCAGACTGGCGCTGGACCGGCGTCGTTCGGCAAGTTGGTCCTACTAGGGGCGACCCCGCAGAGGATCCCTTGTTGTCAATTTTCCTCTTGTTGGTTGAATTTCAAGCAGATGTTTACATCCCTAGCAAAAGCACACAACTTTCACCACAGGGCCTTTAGCAAATTAGCAACCCTCATATAGAGATTTCGCAGAACTGTAGAACACAACTCAATGGTCATAGTTTTTCCATAGCGAAAGCATTATCAGCCAACATCAGTACGGATGTCACAAAAATTCTCACAGATCATCAACAACCATCCCCAGATCCCCCATAACCATCCCGCACAACTCGGTTCGCACTAACAATTACATGGTTTGTCACAGTGTTTTGCTCACTCGAGGTGGCTTGTGGATTGCCACCGCACTAGAAGCACGTATAATGAAGGCAATGCCAGCTAGCGAGCAAAAAGATGCAACAAATATTCTGACAGATTGTCGAAACCCATCCCGAGATCCCACATAGCTGTCCCACACAAGTCAGTTCACACTCACAAACACCCTATTTGCCTACACATCTGTGCTTTTCTTTGCTACGGGCGCACTGCGATTGCCAAGAGAGGCTCTGCCTAGAGGTGGCCCCCTCTGTCCGTCCACAACAGAATTTGGTTGGCTCCGTAAAAATTCCGTACAAGCAACGGAATCCGCGAGCGGGCTACAGAGAGAAAAAGTGTTTTACAGAAATGGGTGGGGCAATGCCGACGTCAGCATAGACGGCCACGAAAATCCACACAACCTTCCAGAATGGAACCATGATTACAGAATCTGCGTCGCAGCTGATGGATGATAGGCCCCAATAACAGAATTGTTGACCAGACCACAAAGGTCGATAGAATTCCATCAAAGTTCACAGAGTAAGTACGGACGCTTGTACTAAATACAAAGTACAATGTGCTTTGGCAAAAGTGATGGATAACCGCCGCAGAGCGGGTCCTATTCCCGGACTGGACGGGCAGACGCCTCGTTTACAGTAGGTTGTGTTAATATTAGAGGTGGCCACTCAAAGATGCCATCTGGTCCGTTAAGTCCGGTTCGTTAATTTTTATCAGCTGTCCGTTAAATTCCGTTAAAGAAAAAGGGAGAAAAATTCAGAAAAAACGAAAAAAATCCAAAAAATCAAAAAAAAGCCCAAAAAATCACAACAACTGCGGCTAGTTGAAAATCTAGTATGCATAGGTTGAAATAAAATACAAACATACTCTCTAATAGCGAATTCCATAAACTATAAGTATGAATAAACCCCAAAAATCCCCAAAAAATCCAAAAATCCGTTAATTTCTGGTTAGTTTTTGTCTTTTTTCGTTATTTTCCGTTAATTAACGGAAAATTAACGGAAATTAACCTCTGTCCGCTAGTAACGGATCCGGGTGGCCACCTCTAGTTAATATGTGTAGTCTAGCGTTTGCAAGGGATGGCTGGGAAAGAACAACGGGTTGCGTCCCCGGTTTGGCAAGGAGTACCAGCCGAGGCAACATTTATGATGGCATGGACTCCAAATAGGTAGACATGCATTGTTTATACATGTATTAATATTGCACCTCGTGATGTCACTGGTGTGGCTTGTATGTAGAGGCAAAGATTGCTGGATACAGAGAAAAAATCCGCTTGGAAAAAAAATGCCTCCAACAGAAACCGTTGCTAACCAACGGAACACTACCGGAATCTCCAAGTCCCTGACAAATGGAAACAGAACGCCAAGAAAGGCAACGGAAAAAAAAGCACTTTTACAAAAACCAGTGGCTGCAAACACCCCCTTGACGGACAGCTGCAGAGCCAAAAAATTGAAAGCTGATGTGGCATAAATGGCTACAAAAACCCGGCCCCGGCAAAGTAACGGAAAATTGATGGATAGATTGTTTGTGTTCAAAAAAAGTACAAAAGTAAATTAACAGAAAAAAAGCTAAGCGGCCACGTCTAGCTCTGCCATTGCCCCGATTCACCCTTGCTCTCACCGCAGCCCCAGTTGCCGCTTGGCCTCCCCCGCAGCTCCGATCGCTACGGATTCCCCACACAGCTCCGATTGTTGTTTGCTCTCTCCGGCAGCTCGGATCGTTGCTTGGCCTCCCCGGCAGCCCCGATCGCCGTGACTCTCCTTCACACCCCGATCGCCGTGGCGCCCTCCCAGGTGTCGCCCCTAGTAGGACCGTGGTCCGGTCTAGCACTAGACCGGTGCCGGTCTGGTGCCTATCTGGCAACGCATCTTATGTACAAGGGCCGGTCAGAGGACCCCCTTTTGTCAAATGCACTCACGCAGAGGACCCCCTTTTGTCACAGAGGACCCCCTTTTGCCAAGATATCTCACATAGGACCCCCTTTTGTCATTTTCCCTTTCTGTTATGACAAATAACTTTCACTAGGAGGGCAGTTGAGCGGAAACATTGTCATGACAAGGGGGAGAAAGTAATTTACATGTTTTGAGGGTGACACGCAAAGAGACGGACCATAATTTGATGGGGATGGTCCTCTGAGACTAAACAATGTCAACCTGGGTCCAGTAATGGGCAACAAGTGGTTGTGATTTGTGCCAGGAGTTGTTTGACTTTGTAGGAATTTTATATGAAAATGACAAGAATCATTAATCATTTCACCCTTTTCCTTACTGGGTAGGGTTGTTTGTTTCAATAAAGAAAACAAGCAGGAACCAGGAAGGCAAGATGTCATTTGGAGGTCATTAATATGCTGAGGCAATGATAGACATTTCTTTGGTTTTGGTTCTGGTCACAATTGATTGGACTACATTAAATTATGGGGAGGGCTCAGCCATTGGGCTGACGGGAGTTTTGTATACAGGGAGTCTTGTGCACATTCAGATTGCACGCACAGCGCATATAGGGAGATCAGGAGGGTGCTGCCCCTTTTGAAGGGGCCACATGTGAACATTTTGGGGAATTGTCCTATAAAAAGGTGGCGCAAGGCAGTGGTGCCAGGGAGATGTCATTGTGAGTCGGGTGGTAGCTGAGCGCGCCACTGGTCGTGGCTTGTCGTGTTGGTCGCTACGGGGCTGGAAGCAAGGACAGTCGACGAGCCCAAGTTTCCGTGAGTGTTGGACTGGTCACTGTGTGTGCATGTTGTGCAGTCCATCCGCACGTGTTCCTCTACGTAGAGGGAACGTATGAATCACGGCCGGAGGCCACGCTAGAACGCACCAGAAGGGGCGTGCAGCTGTGTAAAGTGGTGCGCTGCCCAGCAAACGCGCCGTAATGGTGATGTGCAGGCATATGAAAACTTGTTCATATTCCTGCACATCACATTCATATTGCTGCACATCAATTTCCAAGGGCATGTGAGCCGAGTGATCGTGGTAATACACGATCCATGTAGACTCAGGGCAGGATGCTGGATTCTTGAGCATGGGATCGCTGCATACGGTCGACGATAGCATGCGCTTGCTCCATTTTCGCAAAATGGGTTGGTCACGCGAACAAAGTGCAAAATTTTAAATTTGGCCTGGGGCCAGCGTCATGGGATGTTTCCCCCAACTATGTCGTGTGGTGAGATCTGATGTCCAACATGTTGTGTATACAATGACCCATAATGTTTGCCCACTACCTTTTCCAGTTTTGGATTTCTGGGTAACCAAGGATTATGGGGTGGGGAGGAACCCGCAAAGAGGAAAGGGGCCCGGGGGCGGGGGCTGCATCCGGGTATGTACCTGGACGCCGGTACTGGCAGTACCTAGGCAGTCCGGGTAGTTGCGTGCACCCGGGAACATACCCAGACCGCCTGCTCGGGTTGCTGGGTTCCAGGTATCCACAAATGTGCTTGTGCGTACACAGGAAGTTCCAGCACCAAGCCAAGGTACCAGCGTGCCAGATACGCAGGTGCCATCACCCAACCATGCTGCAATGTAAAGTACTTCCAATACATTCTATCATCTCTTTTGCAGAGCGTCCCTGCCAATGCTGTTGCCAGTGCACCAGGATTTGCACTTTCAAACCCTTTTCATTGAACTCAATCCAACCTGTTGTAATCAATAAAAGAAATGGCATTGAACACCTGATGTATGGCGAAGGCGAAAGGTGCTGGGAGAAGAGCAGGTTAATCTGTAACTCTGCAACTTTCAACTTGTGCTGGACTACACTCCACAAGATGCACCAACAAACAGCAACATCACATCCATTTGATACAATGGCTCAAAAGTTGGCACTTGCACCATTACCCAATAATAAAACACTTCACCAATAATGCCTAAACCTGCAGCTACTGTCTAATCGCTCTCTGTCATCAAGCACAACGACAGAGGACCCGCCACCATGCAACACTTCTCGTGGCGCTGGCTTCCTCAATGCAGTGGTTGAAACAAACAACATCACATCAATCAGGTTGCAGTGTGAACAGTGCACACAAGACAAAACTAGCAGCTGGGTTGATGAAGCGCACACTATCAATCCAGCGCCATTCTGGGTCTTCAGGGGCAAGCACTTGTGGACTGACTCCAAAACAACATGTTGCCTAGAAGGACAACCTGGAGCCATCGGGGCACAATGAAACCCTGTCAGCGCTGCACACAGTTGTCCTGTTGATGCTGACCTTGACTTTGGGCAAGTTGGGTATAAAACAGCTGCTATGGGTGAGGAGGTGCTCCCTGTGTGCCATAAATTGCTTGCGGTGGAGGCTGCTGGTAGTTCTGTGGGTATTGGTAGTACTGAGGGGCTGTAGGGTTCATGTTTGGTTGTGGAGGTGGAGCTCCTGGCTGCGCTCCAAACCTTGCAGAGATGGGTATAGGGGGAGTGCCTGATGCTGTGACTGGGACGGGGGATCAGAACGGCCGGAGGTCTCTGGATGCAGGTCAGCGTTCTGCATCTGTTGCGGTGGCTGCTGGACAGCAGGTGCTGGCGATGGCCGAGGGAACATCTGGTCCCTCATGCCCTGCACATCACACATGGCCAAAAGAAATCAGTCAGTGGAATCAGTGAGTGACAGCAGCAAAAAATTTGCGCTTTAGCACAAGCAAAGGCTGTTTGTGGTGTCCACAGTGCAAGCTTTGGTTTGAATTGTTGATGCAGTGCACTTGTCTAGTTGGCAGCCACATGAGCTGCTTCACAACCACCCACCTTGAAAATACCAAACATTCCACCGCCACGGGGTGACCTTTGGCTGCTGACACTCTGGACATCCACAAACAGAGCTGATCACTCCTCATGATGCAAACTACTGCATGGTACCAAAGTAACCATGAGAACATGCATTCTGCTTCTAGTTTGTGCAATAACATATAGCATGGAATGAGTAACAATGGTCAACCAGTACAGATGAGGGCACAGCAATGTTGTAAACCTGTTCTTCACATGAGTGCAGAAGTGGCGAGTTGTTTGCAACTGCAACTACGACGAGATAGACTTCACATGCCACTTAGCATAACACCAAGAGGCGTGCCACATCTACACTCCATACAAACATACAGCCCCAGGTGTACAGAGTTCCTGATTGTTGCTTGGCACCTGCAAGTACTCATCCCTCTGCATTCTTCTGGTCATGCAGAAGTCGCTTGTCTGCTGCAGCATTGTTCTGACAGCATCTTGCAGCGACATGTAGAAGCGCATGCCCTCTCCAAGGTTGTCACGCACTTCATAAAACAGCCGGATCTGAAAAGACAAACAACAAAAAACCTTGCCATCCTTCCTGCACAGGAACCAGCATCATAAAACTGTACGGCAGAACCAATTCCACAACTTTTTCAGCACATCTTTTCCAAGAAGTATCGACGTCAAGCATGTGCCCCATTTTGACTGTGCCTGCAAGTGCTGTCCATCATGTTCAAGAGTCATCTCTGCTCCTCATTGATGCCTTGCATCACAATTCCTGGCCCTCACCAGGCCTTCTTCAGATCCCAGTTACAATTCCATGCAGGCAACACTGTGTGCAGCCCATTGCCACTAACCTCGTCTTTTATCTCCTTTGCTGCAATTTGGCATTGATTCTTCCATACTGGCACATTGAACGTCTCTCTGAATGACACATTGGCTGAGCCAATGTCAGTCAACAACTGGGCCTGTTTCTCCAGATTGTCCTTCACATCCGCTTTCAGGTCATCATATTTCTTCAGCTCATTGTGAAACAGATCATCTTGTGATCCTGCTGATGACAACAGCTTTGGAAGAATGTTGTCCTTTGTCTTTCTTTCCTTCAAAGCATCTTCAAGACCAGCCCTTTCAGCTGAAACACTGTTCAGTTGCTCCAGACATGCTGCAACACACATGGAGCACAGTGTCAAGGGTCAATGTTGGAACATCCCAAGTGTTCTACACTGAAGAGGATGTCCTGGGAGTGAAGTTAATGACAACTGCCAATCCAGCCACAAAAGTAGCCATTGTTGCAAGGACTCCATGCAACAGAGCAGACCCCAGCTTGCAAGCTATAGCAAGTGCTTTTGCTTGCACTATTGTGCATTCAATCATTAGCAAGCCGTCTCAGCGAATTTCAGCCTTTCAGTAATTCTGTCATAAGCAAGCAAAGCTTCCAGTCTCACTGAGCTGCTCTGCCAAGCAGGATGTGTTCTGGTCTTCTCCCTGCTGTTTACAATCAATGCATAAGCCTGTTCCACAATATATGGACTCTGCCAGACCTGTGCAGAGAAATGACACACATTTGACAGCAAATCACTGACAACCTTTATTTGCATTTCGATCATACACAGCAGGGTATTGTGCGTACAGCATAGTGTGCTTTCTCCACGTATGAAGAATATGGACCAGTTATCAACATGTTCCTTTGCACAACTCTGTGTGCATCAATGCCAGCATGAGTTTGACACAGCAGCTGACATCAATGTGTCTGCAGCAAGCACAATGTTCAGCGCCACATACACAAACAGAAACAAACCAAAGGCTGGAACTGTATTCTTCCTGGCCACCAGGTGCACCTGCAAATAGGCACACCAATGCAAACTATAGTGTGCATTCTTCCTTGGCATTTTGTGGCTCCCCAGCCTTCTGGACAGCAGAGTCACAATTAATTTGCAATCATCAACAGGTGCATTCAGACACACTTACTTCTGAGCTTCATCACCACGGTTGTAGGATCTACACCTGCCAAATTCACAATTGGGGCTACTAGCCTAGGCATCCGTGCTGCAGCTGTGCCAACAGTGAGGCTGCCAAAGGTTGTCGCATTCACGGCAAGCTTCTCCAGAACAACTTTGTCGCTGTGACTTGCGGCTGAAAGATTGCTCCTGTGGGCACACAAAGTCTTCAACTATTCTTGAAGTGAAGCGACAAGACAGAACCCAAACCTTAGGGTGGTCTCATGATGTCCTTGCCTCTGGCATGACAACTGTGAGCAACACCAGCATACGGGCTTACCATCTTATGTCCTGTTGTCAAATCGAAACAAAAGAGAACAGCAGGAAGCAAATGGCCTGGATGTGTGGTGAATTGGGTTCAACAATCCAGTCACATGACATTGTATTATTTCGAAGTCCGCAGTGAAGTTCGTCATCACCAGCCACTGCCAAATACAGAACATACATTTGGCTCCATCGCACCTTGGATAGGCCGAAAAGCTCACAATGTACAGTCTACAAATCCAGCCATCTGGCCTGCCTCCAAGCACTGCATATGGTGCTGCCAGGGCAACTGAACAGGGAACAAGCCCTCCCACAAAACAAATTCAAGCACGCTTCTTGCTATGAGTCATGTGAAGAATGTCTGAAAGGCACACTGAAACAAAGATTTGATCAGCAGGGCAAGGTGCAGCACACCTGTATGTTGTCAACAGCTTCCTGAAGTGGGTGGTCAAGGATGCCGATGCAGGGGGCTTCCACTTGTCCCCATACTGTTTTCTCAACTCAGCATCTTTCTTTGCTTCCTCATCTAGTTCTGTCTCACACTTGATCAAATCTTCATGGCCAGTCTGACACAGAGCTGTGATTTGCGCTGACATCTGCAAAGCAACAACTCACGGTTGAATTCGTCCAATATTTACTTCTGCGAGCCTGTCTTCACATGACATGCATGACTTCACATGAACCAACATGTACAGAGAATGCGATGCCCAGCATTTATGCTGTGCCCCTCACAACTGCAACTGAACAACACTTCCTGGGCCCCACCTCTTTCAGGTATGTTACACCATTTGCACGCTCAACTTCCTCCAGTTCTTGTCGCAGCCCATCGGGCAGAGTCGATCCCCTTATGTTCTCAATGGCATCCAGCAAGCCAGGCAACTCCCATTCGGTCAGTTTTAGCCTTGCTTCATCTGTGGCACTCTCCAGCTTGCCTGTTTCCTGGTGAATGATCTCGTCAACGAGCTCTGCATAGCGTGACAGTCCCTTGGCACTGCAAGCAACCACAGCAGCAGTTCAGCCAGATGGATGTGCGACTGAGTTCTCCTTCTCAATACACAGCAGAGACCGTTCCAAAGTGTGCATTATCTTTACATGATACTATGTACGTCAGGATCGCCAACACACTGTCTCCTTCCTCTGTGAGGCTGTTTCAATTTAAAACACTATTAGGGAAACAAGTGGGACCAACAACCAGCTGAGAAATACGGCCTCCAATGGAACAGGTGACAGACACGGCACAGTCAAAGAGTTTCAAACAGCAGCCAAGTTATAGTTCTACATGGGCAATGGCAACAACTGTGTGGTTGTGTATGCAGCTACCTTGACTCTGGCACCAACGAAGCAAAGAGGTGCTCGTTGGAAGCATCCAGTTTGGTGGGAGGAGAAGAGTTTACCAACAGGGCTCCCTCAACAGGCGGTAGTTCAGAAAATTGTTGAACTTTGACTAGGTACACAGCAGCATTGTCCTGTGCAGCACAGAATCAAGCTGTCAGTGCACAGGATGACCCCAGCAGACTATGTGTGCACAGCAAGAACAAGTGGTGGGTGCTGCACAGATACAGTTGGGCCATCGTGCACCTTTTCTGCTCTTGAGAGCCTTGTGTTCACAGCGTCCTCAGCAGACTTGATGCTGTCCTGAATGTCCTGGCTCATGGTTTTGGAGTCTTTTCCAGCCCTGTGCAGCAATGCGGACGCCTGCCTGAGGCGTGATATTTCTCCTGCCATGTCCTCTGTGGCTGCAGCATGCTCTGCCGCCTTCTGCTGGCACAAGCCATCGTACATCCAACTCTTCAACTGCACATGACCCTGCAAAAGACACAGTGCCTCAGGCCATAAAATGTTGACAACATTCTGCCTTAACAGTAGTGGTAGTTGTAATTACTTTGCCACACAGTATCTACATGATTCAGCGCATCACAAATGAATGCTCTTCTTCCTTGAAGTCTTGCACTCACCAGCCAATGCCTTTCAAAGTAGTCCTTAACCAGCGGCTGTCCAAACAGGCTGAGCGTCTCAGCATACAACACAGATGTCTGCTTTGCTACTTTCGCCAACACCATGGCTGTCTTCTTGTCCATGCTGGCTTTCAGAAACACACATTCCTGTGCTTGGGCCAACATAAGCTTCTCTAGCAGACCTAAGCTCTCTGCACTCAGGTCAACAGCTTGAGGTGTGCCTATCTGCAGACCAGAAACAGCACATCTCTGTCAGGGATGCTTCGCCGTCCTGACACCAAGAGGGATTGCTGCCTTGCCTCCACCATGCTGCAAATCACAGGGGGCTCAGTGCCAAAGAAAACCATGATGCATCAACAGTATCACACACCTTGAGGGCAACGTCTTTCACCCTTTGGAACACGCCAGCAGCTTCCTGACCACAAAACACTAATAGTAGTTAGAAAATCCCAACTGGATACACAGGATGAAGGCGTCTCCATTAGCCGTGGTTGATGACAAAGAGTTGGTTCACGTTACTCACACTTACAGCCTGATTAGCCGGCCACACACCTGGAAAGCAGAGCATGCCTCCTTGCAGCCTTCCGGGGTGCGCATGCCGTTCACGGCTGCTTGTTGCGACAGGATTGCACCAAGGTTGAAGAGCACGGAGGCCTTCTCGAAATGTATGTTGGGCTGACGCATCTTCCTCCTTGGCTGCAGCGCCTCCATCCACGTGAAGTTCACCTGTGCGTGATCGCGGTCCTTGCTGATTGGGAATCTGGTCTCCATGACGGACAGCGCTCGGCAGTACCTGCACAGCAAATGGCATCAGCAGGGCATTGAGGGCTTGACGTCCTTCATTTGGGCTCCATCAAATACGCCAAACAGGGTATATACTTGCCGCGTGAGGTGACGATGCGCATCTGGAAATTAATTTCTAGCTTCGCTCACGTACCTGTGGAGCATCGCACCTGCTGAGTGTGTCCCGTGCCGTGTCGTTGGGGCCCCCGCTGCTGATCGCCAGCACCTCATTCCGCAGGGTCTGAACTTCGTCCAGATCTGACGCCGCGTCCTCCGCGTGTTGGGCGCCGTAAACTCTCTTCGCATACCTCAGAATGGGACCTTTCAAGTCGCAGCGCTCCCCACGTTTGCAGTGGACCGCCAGGAACGCCGATGCGGCGCACGACATTGGCATGAACGAGGGTCGTCACGCGACGGCCGCCCAAACAGTATGTGCGGATTCCAATTGGCAGGGCGGAGCAGCAAACGCAGGCGGGCAGCGCACAAGGCGTGCCGCTGCAGAGAGAAGACTCCTCGCAGGGACGGGGGCTTCTTGCCAAGTGTTCCTGCCGGTGAGTCGCCTGTGCACGACCCGGTGAAGCTGGCTGGAATGCGGAATGCAGACCCGGAAGGAGGCCAATGCGAAGGGGCTGCGTGTGGCTTCCTTGCTTCTCGGCCGCACACCTTGCCCCAGGAGCGCAACCTGCCAGTACTTAACGAACCAAGAGCGATGCGATTCGCTTCGTTTGCAAACGTGGCGCACCCAACCCGTCCTCATGGTGCAGATTTCACCAGACGCGCGTGGGAATGTGGGGCTGTCACAAGGCTCGCAGAGTTGCTCATTTCTCCCTGGTTTTCAATGTTGGCGACCTCTTCAACGAGGACGACCCATGCAACGCTAAACTTCTGACAAGACTAGGCTCCATTGAGTTTCCGCAAACGATGGTGTACAGCAAGTTGCCACGTGTGCACCGAGGCGTGTCTGCCTCATGAGTTTGCACAATGCAGCAGCCCGGAAGCAAAGTACACGACAGCTATTTGCACCCCAACGAGCCACACTAATCTGCACTGCTAATGGCAACCAAGAAAATGCTGGCACTGCTGTAAACAAAGACGCCTGCACAGCCGACAGTAGAGGGGTCCAATCTGCACCGCTTGCCAGCGAAAACTCCCAGAGTGCAGAATGTGTTGCTGGCTCAAGTGGTGGCTGCATGAACAACAGGAGGTTCCCACCTGGCTTGTTTCATGTTGCGCTTTGCCTGGCATCGTACACGAGCCTGCGTCCGTGCTCAACTGCACCGTTAATTTTGCCATTCGCACGGCTGTTTCACAATTCGTTCTCAATCCCATTTCACACAATCCGCCAGAGTATTGGAGGGCGCTGGTGAGTTTTGCACTCAGTCACTGCTGAGCCAATGTCCACCCACCTCGACCTCATTTCCACCAAAAACGACATTGCATGCCCAGAAACAGAAGCCCAAACCTCAATATCCTATGCACATCATGCTGCGGAAATAATCAGGCCAATACTGTGCACAGCAACAACCAATGCATTGCAGCTCCATTGCTATATCCAATCCACATCAGCACCTCCCGTGCAGCAGGATGACTGAGGCAATTAGGCCATGGCAGCTGCAGCCATAGCTCTTATCTTGGTGAGTATCGAGGGGTCCCCATAGCCCCAGCGATGTAATGCCTCAGAGCGCAGATTGGCAGCAATCTCCGCCTCCCAGCGGTCTCCGTTCTGCAGTAGCTTGTGCTTGTCATACAGAAGCTGCTGGCGAGTAAAGGACAGGTGGTTCTCATTATCAAAACATCAAACAGGGTCAATGTTGCCACACTTATCCATTTGGACATGACAGTGCAGATTGGCCAATTTTGGGCCATTTATGGGATGTGGATTCGTGCAAGCTGGTACCACTTGCAAGTGCAAAACAACTGGGAATGTGTTGCCAATTCAGACGTGATACAAAGCAAGCAGACCAATGGGATCCTTGCTTAGGTTCTGTTCGTGTCTAATGCCACACGTACAAGCAAGATTCAGCTGCACAGCAGCCTTGGCACAGTAAGTGATTGGGCCTCTCCAGGACCACCAATGACTCACCTCTCGAGTTTCAGTGGCACACTCAAAGTTGGGCCCCTCCACAATAGCGTCCACAGGGCATGCCTCTTGGCACAGCCCAGAATAAATTTCGTCTTGGCAATATCATACCTGGAACACAAATGATAAATCAATGGCAAATCAGCACATTAATCAACTGCAAAACAACCCAAGGGTATTCTGCAGGAGAGGCAGCTTGGCTTCTACCCAATTGCCCGTGTATTCTCGGGCAAGCGACAGTCTTACAGTCAAAACTCGAACTGCAAGGCAATTTTAAATAAGCTCCCAACACAGCAGCCAGACAGACAATTTTCTCCTTTCGGGTCATCACCAATGCTGCCTGGAATAGCCCTGCAACTGCCCATGCATAGTACAGGTGGAGTGCAAAGCCACCAAGTACTTAAAAATCATCACAGCAGTGAACAGCTGCAAATGGAACTTTCTGCCCCTGTATCCCAGATGGTGCAAAATTCCCAAGTGCACAGGACATCCCCATGCACATCTTGTCGTCCTACGGCTGCCATCCTCTCTCTCCTCAGATTCGATGGGAATTGCTTGGGCTGGGCATGTCTGAAAAACATTGAGCAGCAATAACAGGTGGCAAGTCCAATTGAGGCCCACAGCAGGCATCAGCCAGTGTGGTGCTGAGTCCACAGGAGCTGGGGCTGACTGCAAAACCTCTTCCAAGACATGGAGACCACATATTACTGGGAGTGCCTTGTTTTCTTCGAATAGCTTAGCATTTCAGTACCAGTTTGCAGTTTACCAGCAGCAAGACCCCATCCCAAACAAAGCCTTGATACACAGGACAAGAATGACTACCGACAAGCAACACAACTGTCTTGTCGCGTGCACAGGACGGCAAGGATGACGCGAGCGCCCCAGGACCGTCCAGCAAGCTCACATGGGGCCAGGTCCGATGAAACGACGCCTCCTTCGACACCATTCAGAAGCAAACAAGAGGTCATACTTGGTCACAGTGGACCAGAGTCCAATACAGCATTGAACGTTTCAGCTGCACAAACGAGAAATTGGCCGCAATGATTGTGTTCTCACCGCTTCGCACAGCTTGCGCGATGCATATCTCCTCGCCTGACGGGTACCGTCGCAAGGCGTGCTCACCCCGAAACCTGGAGCTCAAGGGAGCTTTCTCAAACGGATTGTTCACCTGATACACCAAGTTCACCGTCATGTACGGTGGCCCCACACGACGCCAGGCAACGGAGGCAATGAAAGGAAACTCTCACCGTCACTTTGGGGTCGAAAAAGGTCTTCAGAGTCAGGCCCTGCCCGCGAAAGATGTCGGCGCATTCTCCTCCAGCACTGCACTCACACACACGACGTCAGGCGACTTCCCTTGAAGACAGCGCAGGCTCCTCCTCAAAAATGAGGGCGATCGCCACGCACCATCAGACAGCGCGGTCCGTTCCCTGAGGACAGCGCCCACATGATCAAGACATTCACCAACAAGCGCTCTTCGGTGCAGCTCGATCCGCCCGCGACGATGAGCACCCGCCGCTAGATCCCTGGGGACCTCCCTGTCTGATATGAGCGCCGATGGCTGCTTATCCCCTGCTGCGCCTGCAACACACAAAGGGAATTGCCTTGCGAAATCTTTGCCAGGTGCAACGCCGTCCCATGAGTGTAGCGAGAGACGGGCCACAGCCAGCAACAGACCCGCGACAGCGGACCCATGGAGTCAGCTCCCGCGGGCGCCCAGCCAGGGAGCCTGGGCCCCGAGGCGGCGCGAAATCGACTGCCCCACGCGCAACATCCGGAGTGGGAAAGCCTCAGAGACAACCTGGTTTCATGGGTCCATCATCCCTCCAATAGACTTGGCAGGGCGTCACCGGGACGTCCGTACATTTGCCAATTGGCGGTTGGGGCTGAGTCAGCCAGACTGGCAGTCCGCCGGCGTTCATTTTCTGGCACACGCGAGGTCTGAGCGGCCTGGGGCGTGCAGTCCTTGCGGAGTGACCATCCCACAGGTGTCAACGCTGCACTCCGGCCTGCGTCGGCTGCAGAGCGGAATAGAGCTCCCTGGTCGGAACGGAGAAGGCCGCCCACCGGAGCTTCGTCGATCCGCGAGAATTTGAGTTTCTGTCCCATCCAGCGAGGTGACAGCCTGCCAGTGAACAGGTCCCTCTTTCCGCACCTCTTGGGGCCCGCCTGGGACAGAACGGGATACCCATAGAACAAGTCAGTCACAGGTCTTACTTTTCTGGTCTGCAAAAGTCGGTTTGATTTGTGCACCGAGCCCTGGCTGCGCCATCGACGAGCTGCATCTGGCGACTGTGGTACATTGCCGAGCATTGACACAAACTCACAGGCAGCATTTCCTTTCTTTCTGAAAGGCACTATCGCTGCGATGCCGAGTGCTGCAGTCCAAAAGGCTGGGGTGGTAGCCTCAGAGGCGTCTCAGGACCAGCCAGCGGCCAGGTGGGAGTTCCGGGCCTTCATGCCGCCATTTCCTGCTGCCACAGCACCCACGGCTACGTTCTTGCCAAAGCTCTTACGGCGCGTTCTCCTTGCCGTTCGCCGTTCAAAACGCTGAGAGGCTGCCTTTCGCACTGTGCGGCTACTTCCAGGCGTCAGTCAGCTGCTCATCGCCGACGCTCCTCAGTTGGTAGCACCAAGCTGGTAAGCGCCAATCAGAACAGCGACATCCACGGTGGCCCCTTCCCAGAGCATTCTGCGCTGATGTCGCTCAAAACTTCGAGTAAACTCCAGATCTGCAAAGCAAAGGAATGACCCTGCTTCACAGCAATCCTCAGGAAGTCGAGGGACACAGATGGATTCATCGGCAGATCACAACAAGAATGGCGAGGAGGTTGCACAATTGGCAACTAGAAACTTGCAGGAAGTCTTCCCACTGATGAGACAGCATAGCACATTTTCCCTTTCTTTTGTTTTGCAGAAGGCCCATGGTTATGTCCTTAAAGTGTGTTGTGTTCATTGTGAGACTCCTTGCAGTGTGGTTTGGGACTATACAGGCCTTAGTTGGAGCTGCTCAACCTGTGACAGCCTCCTAAGAACACCCACACCTGCAAGTGATCAGCACATCCTGGCGTTGAGAGTGGGCATTCAATGGTCCCAGCTCCTGTGTTCGATTGAGGCACTTCTGATGCAGTCACAGTATGTTCACACACATGGGAACATGGCCATGATACCAGGTCGTCACCATGTTCTGGAAAAGTTTCCTGCAGTCTTGGACGTGATCTGGCTCGTTTCACATCATAATTACCACAGTTCTCACACCAATCAAGGCAAGGGTGCGCTGCGCAACTTGCACACGGATGGCACAAACGAAGCAGCTTCGCGCTCAATAGTTATCAACAGTGGTGAACGGGACTGAGATGCCACTGACAACGCAAAAAATTGTGGCTATCACCTTGTGGAACTGTAGAATCCTCAGCAAGACCATACCTAAAACGTGGTAAGCAAGTGACACAAAGTGACGAAAATAAATAGACTCCTCACAATACTGCGGTTGCAAAGGGTGAGCACAATATCAACTGAAGCTGTCCTAGTTGAACGATGGATTGCCACACAAACGTTGTCGCTGTTGCCATTAATACAGACACACAAAATCACAATTCTCAATAGACAACTAAAGGATATTGGCAGTAAAATTCGGCTACTATTGTCAGCTGTGATTCTGCTCACAATAAGCATATTTTCGCTCAGATCAGCTAAGGAAGTATGCCTTGCCGGTCACCAAATTTGAGACAAATAGCTTGCTAAGAGTGAAAAGTGTGTCCACAGAAATGCATCAAACAGTGCCTGCATTATGGCTGCGAACTCAAACGATAATATCCTAGTTGCGAGAATTGTCACAACATAACAGCAACAAGCGACGACCGTGTTGAACTGTGGTGTGCCTAACACCTTCTTTATCTTGGTTGCGAGAGGAAACCAGGCATATGGAAATCTGCATGTTGCTGCCAAACCGCAGGGCTTGCAAATAGAATGTGCAAGTTGCCTTGGTGGGAGCAATGGTGCCCCTAGCAGTCCCTGTTTACATTAGCCCTCCTGACTGTTGCAGTTTTCATGGTGGTCTTGGATGGAGGGTGTGGGCAGTTCACTGACTATAGCCGCAAGCATAGGGGCTGAACTTCATTGCCCGGGTTACTTGTGAGTTCCTCTTGTACAAGGCTGGAACTTTTCGGAATTATCTGTAGAATATGCAAGAAGTGTATTGATGGTATGCCACCTGCAATACTCACAGAAAGGCGGGGTGTTATTAGTGGCGCACGTTTCATGTGGATCTGCAAGCCTCGGGGCAAAACAATATCGCATTTCCAGAAGGGGGCGTTTCAGGTCTCCAAGCATTGCGGATGCGTAAATCTGTAGAATTTGTAGCATTTCTTGCAGTTGCAATATCCGTTTACAGGGAGGTCTTGGCACAGAAACTCTTAACTCTTGAGGCCCAGGGCTTTGCTTCGACGTTTCAAACATGATCGAAACAAAGGCGTCAATACTCCTGTGATCTCGGGCTATCCCCCCCATTACACTACCTACACATTCATTCAATTGGCAGTGTGTCGTTCCCCCAGAGTACCGTAGATACCAATACTCCACTGCCGAGAGTGACAGACGCACTGGGGCCAGAGGTGGCGAGGTAAGTGGCCTCCCATTGCGCACACGGTTTTTTTCAACGACTTTTCCAGTATTGCTGCTTGTAACGTTGAAAAATTTGCGTCAATCTGCCAGGTTGCAGAACGAGCTGAGGGCAAAAGAGAAGGAGAACGATGAGGTGAGATCCTAGCACCGACAAGCCTCGCTGTGCAAATTGCAGCGGGACAACTCATTGTCACCTGCCTGCCCATTTGTTCCATTGAATTCGGTTTATTAACAACAGCGAAATGATGTACCTTAGGTATCTTCGGAAGCCAGGCAGCTCAAGCACAGCGTATTATCCAAAGAGAGGTGTGATTTGGACCAAGGCGTGCAGATTTTCAGCACCTAACACAAAAGAGATTATCTGAACCTGTGGCACAAATACCGTGCATTACATATGCTCCATACAATCGGGCTCGGATTCGTGCTTTGCCAGGTGCTTGGCCTTTGATATCTCTGCGCACATAGCGCATGACCACACTACTGCTCTCAAATTTTCTTTCCCGAACCCTGACTGATTCCCCACGTAGTAGGCGCCGAATGGGAGGCACAAACAGAGCCATGTGGACTCTTCAGGGCAGAGATTGCCTTGTACATTAAATGACCAATTATTGTCACTCTGTGGGTTCTTAAAATAGATTCATAGTCCACAAGGAAAAGCAGGCGGAGGAGCTGAAGGAGAAGCTGCTGAAAAGTCTCAGGTAATGACGAGTTGCCCACGCGATTGCGGATATCCACACATTTCCTAATACATGCACACTGTGCCTTCAGCCTGCTGTAAATGTCTGTACCTTCAGCATTTGCAGGAGCACAGTGTAGGCGTTGAATTATAGATCTTTATATTAACATTGACGTGCTGAGCCACCAATAACTTTTAGACATGGCATAGGCTCGATACTATTGACACACAACACCTCGCTGTGTAATTAATGGGTTATGGCGCTCCCAGATAATAGTTTCTCTGGGGAACTTCTGGTATGTACCTTAACATCATTTTAATGCCCGCTTTGTGGCCGTGCATGTGGATATGTGGAGGATCTGCTCTGCATTCTGCATTGAGAACACCCACATATGCACAAAGCAGACAGAAGCATTCTGCGGAATAGAAGCTGCGGGCTTCGAATTCTGCCACCAGGGAAATACCAAAGTTGCTCTTCAAGTTGTATCCAGTGTGACATATTCTCAAAGCAGCTTCCGAATTCTCCGCATGTGATTGACCCGGTTCCTGAAGAACGCTGGTCGTCACATTGACGAACAAAGTCCTGCAGAGCTGCAACATGATTCCATCGCAAACGCCCGTGGCGCAAGCGGATGCCGGCATGAATATTTCGTCTTTTGTGTTCCTAACGATAATAATATCTTGTTTCCAGCGATGCATCAGCAAAATCCAAGGAAATTGACGACCTGAGAACAGCAAAGGTACGGCAGCAGACCTAGCGGCTTTCGTACGGATGCCATGCGATTGTCGGGCTGGCGACGGCTCAGGCATGTGCTCATTGACGACGCAAACCTGTGCCAAACTATTAACAAACCTACGGTATTTGCTCAGCGCAAACTGGAGGGAGAGAAGTCGACGCTCAACAGACAGCTGGGAAAACTGAAGGAGCAGCTGTCCGTGCTGAGCAGCAAGGTAATTCTGCGATGAAACTCTCTTTGCCGCACCATGCAGTCCGCACACCGCGATTGTTTGAACTTTCATGTCCCTCTTTGTCCATGTGCATCGGACATCTGCAGGATTCAAATATCAATGCGGTGAAAGTGGCTGAGCTCGAGTCGGAGACAAAATCACTCAGGAAGGAACTTCAGACTGCGTCCACTGAGGTTAAGGTAAGTGTTTTTGTGGTCCGGCTCAAGCCCATGCATGCGTGTTTGCTTCCACTGCATTCGCACTGTTCTCACAGCTGGCTATGGGTGTGACAGACATGCACAAACATCATCCGCACGAAGGATAAGGAACTGGAGAAAGCGAAATGTCAGGTCTGCACCTCGTGTCCAACAGTCAGCAACAGAGACCAATGGTCTCAATGTCGACATGTTCCTGTTCCACGTCTATCAACACCAAAGCCGCAGTGCTTTCTTGCTGCCGCTGACCTCAGAAGTTTACAGCTGCCTTCCCTGAAGCAATTTTTATTGGACGACGCCTTTATGACATTAACTGTTGCGTTCAGGTGCAGCATCTCTGCGCGGGTCTGCCCCTTGTTTTTGAGGCCCTCCAAAACAGCGAACTGATATTGTGCCGTTGCGGGATGTTCGATCAGGTGGAGGATGCTGCGCGAGCAGTGGTGCGGAGCAAGGAGCTGCAAAACCAAGTTGCAGATCTGCAGAGACAAAGGGACACAGCGCGGCATGAAATTAAGACGCTGCAACAGGTGACTCGCTGGAGTGTGGTTGATGGCAGCCTCCTTTGCAGGTGGGCTGGAACCAACGCATCAGCTGTTGATCTTGTGATGGCAGGTCGAAAGGCAGAAAGAAGCCGAAATTTCCAAGTTGACAGCAGAAAACGCGGAAATGACGAGACAACGTCAAATTGCAAAAGACGAGCTCTCGGATGCAAGGGCATCCCTCAAGGTGAAGCATATTTACCCGGGACCCCTTTGCCGCAGCCCTAGATCCAAACCGTGTCTTTCAAGGGACGCTTCCTGGGTAATGCCGCATTCCATTTGTTCCCTAACATTGGGCATTGGATTTGTTTTATCACATTGGGCATTGGATACACATTGATAACATCACATCCACTGGGCATGCACACGACAGCATGTCAGTCCATCGGCGCCACAAGTTATTTACGCTCTTGCTTTGGTACGGTCTGCGCTCAGAACTTGAGGGTAGAATTCTTTCAACTCAAAAGAAGTTCCCTTGTGAGGTCCCCTTGCTCCCTTGTGTAACCTACGAGCTAAAGTTTCACATCTCGCTTAAGCGAGCACTGTCGACTTTGTGCTCAATATTGTTGGACAACTAAAATGCCTAGTTTTGGCATCAGCATACCAATGGCCATCGGTCTTACGGCCCTCCGTGTTGCAGAAATAGATACTGCTGCGCATGTCCACATTCCCGATTGGTCTGTTCCGCCACACAATCAGTCACGACTGTCAGCTTTGTGGCACACAATATGTGCCAATCTTGATCTGATTCGACAAACGGTCTACAGCGATTATAAAGAAGCGTGCAGGGTTCTATTCTGCACACCGAGGAGGGCGAACGCCGCGCCGGCTACTTTCCGGCTTGTGCTAATTTTGATGCCGGTAGCCAGTTCCAAAGCGTCCACGCCCTCGAACCTGAGCGCTGAGCATACCGATATCCGAGTGGGGTCTTCCCTTATGCACACGACGTGCCCCATGGTCACAAAGCCGGATAGTCCAGCAAGCAGCACGACTGCACTACATTGCACAGCAGTACATTGTGCCAATGTGTTACACTGTTGCGCATTGCACTTTCCTGAGGCACCAAGCGCGTTCAAGGTATTCTCGTGGCTTTTGGCTGCCTGCATTAGGTACAGGAGAAGCACAAGGAGGACATGCTGCAGGAGATCAGCCTGTTGCGTGATCAGCTCGCACGCACAGAAATCGTTGCCTCACGTGTGGTTGTGGCGGAGGTCAAGGCAGGTGAGCAGCGCACGGAGGTTCGCGTCTGGAAAATGGCGGAACGACCCAAGTGACGTTGAGCCTATTGCCTTTGCGTTCGTACGTGCATGGTATTTGTCATCAAGTGACAGCCACTTCAAATTATGGAATGCTGACAACCGCTTCAAATTATGGATGTCAGGCATGCTTAGGGTGACTGAGCTTCTGGCCCCTTTCAGCATCTATTCGCAGCGGCATTCATTATTCACACCAGCTTCCATTCTCCTGCACAGGCCCGTGCGGCCATGCCTCCCACATAATTGCGATCCAAATTCGAGCGCCCCTCGCACGGGCATTTGGGCCCCCCCGCCGCTCCCCAATAGCCTCAACATCAGCTCGCGCTGTGTTTTCGGCACCAGGGGCAAAGGATGAAGGGACCATCCCTGTTGTCCACCACATAGAGGAGGTGAGGTATCTTCAGGGCGAGATCCAACGGCTAAAAGAGAAGTTGGCCCATGCAGAGCGCACACAGTCGTGAGAAGACCCTGGTGTTCCAGAGAGAAGGAGAATATGCGGTTGCGCAGGCGACCATGCCTCTGAATGTGGGGTATGAGTTGGAGGGTGCCCAACGAACGGGCCACCGGCAACAGATCATAAAGATATTTCCATTCTGCGTTCGATGTGTGGGAATAGAAACCAGTTCTTTCGGGCAAGGATCCAGGACATCTGCAGCCATTGTGTCTGCATGCATGGCGCTAAACAGAAACGATGGAATTGGCGGGTTGGCAGGGTACTGTCAGGCCAAGTCATTAGAACATCCAAGGTATGTTGCGTAACAACAAGCATGGGGCTCACAGTTGCAGAACTCATTCGTGATTCTCAAGTTCCGTGCCCTTAGAATCGAGCAGACAACAAAATGTTCAATGTGCAAGCCTGGCATCGCCTTCCGATGGATTGTGATCAATCCAAATGGTTGGTGTGCAAGAAGGCTAACAACAGAGCTGAGGTTTTGGCATCCCTAGCGTTGTTCCCAGGGTGTAGAGCGTGACAATGATGCGTAGCACAATCACTTTCATGCTCTGAGCGCTCACGTGTGGGCGGTGGTTGCTTCTCTTTTACCAGCGTTGGTTGCCAGGACCTGTGGAATTCCTGCACCTTGTCTGACAGAGCAGCAGGAATCATTGGAGCGTGACCAAGCTGGAATTGGCAGGTTCTGGAGCCCAGTGCCACCACTCTGGCTATAAGAATATATCCTTAACTAAGAAACTTAAGGTTCTCCTGCAGGGTCGACGGACACCCTGGGGCAACATGCACTGGGAAACGTCCATCGGGTCACTGTTCACCTGCCTGTCTCGGTACACCATCCAAACTACAGCAAATGTCACATCTGGCCACCGCATGTAACAGATTCGAAAAAGGAGGTAGCTTTTCTGCACAGCTCGCACACAGCATTTGGTACATAGCTGCGAAAACCAAGTGTGACTGCAACACCTGCAACATGGAAAAGCATAGAATTGCCAAAAGCACGGCTGGAATGTTAAGAATCCTGAATTGCGTCGATGGTTACGCTGCAAATTTCTGCAGCCACACAATAAATGGCTGTGTCCAAAGCATGGTCCTGCTGAGTCAATGCAGGCGATCAGAGCATGTTAAGAGGCATACAAGATAAATGAGCACATCTTTACAGCCCCTCCGTTGACTGTACTAGAAGTACGCTGGGCGTCCAGTCGGTTGTTGGCGTGAAAACAGCTATCAATGCCACTGGAGAAGAGAGAAAAGAAGTGTCGTATGTGAATCCCCATGTCTGGCAGATGCCTGTCATCGTTCCTTCGCTTCAGGTTGGTCTGCGCTATTTTCACCTTTCTTGTTGCCGACCTTCTTCTTTTCTTTCAGGACTCTGCGCATATCATAGGCATCCTCGCCATCTGCATAGTACTTTGCCTCTATGTCATGGATCCTGCAAGACAGAATCAGGCTTCCTTTAGCCAGCCTCAAAGTTTTCGACTGCCAGTGTGAGACCCACTTTCCATGATCAGGAACACAGGGACCCCACATCAAGGGTATTGTGTATCCGCACGCATCTACAAGCAAGGTTTCATGGTTGCACTTGACAAATTTCCCAGGGCAAACACATGCACTGGATGTGAAATCAACTGCTGTGTATATTTTCTTAGCAATGGCTTCTGTTGCAAGTGCGGTGAAAGGCTTGAAGGTTGCCATGTTGTTCTCCATGCAGAACAATGATACTGGTAAGTATATCGCCCAACACGCCATCAGCCAGTGAAATGTCTATCAGGGTGACCACGTCCTTTTCATAATAAAGCCTGCGTATAACACATAACTCCCATGGTTCCCACTTGGATGAGCCAGAAACTGATGCATTGATGCTGTGCTGCTCAATAGAATTCCCTTTGGGCCCCAAATCGCTTTACGAAAATCACATGCCGATTGCGATGTGGCAAATTATCTTTATCCAGCCTTTCAGACATTACATTGGATGCTTTTTCTGCAAACTCTTATGCTCTCCAGCTAGTTCGTCCCTTTGCAGGCCCGCATCAAGTCAGACAATTCTTTCAAGGTGCAACACTAGCATACAATACATGAGATCAGCATGGCTGCTGCAATGCTGCAAACATTCAATACTCGAGCTGGGTCCTCCAAGCTTCACTGCCACACCAATTGTATTCCCATTAGTCCCAGCAGTCGATCGAGCCAGATGCGAATGCAGATTGCGTTCCGCTGTTACCAAAAACTTGTTCAAATGCAACACCAACACTTGTGCAGGTGCTATTAAGGTGCCATCCGTTGTGATCCCCTGCAAACATTGTTGACGATCAGCCTCCCCGGGCCTTGGTGCTGCCTTTGCTGTGGGCAACGCACACTGTGTCGAAGTACAATAACCCCAGTTTGACAAGGATTCATACAAGCTACTTGTGCTGATGCAACAGCACATAAGGCACCGCCTGCAGTCCCACAACATCACAAACCTGTATCCCAGAGTCTCCATGTACAAATGGTGAGCCCCTTTGTTGGTGACACGGACATGAAGCGATGAATACTCAGCATCAAACACCTGCTCCATGGCTCTGTCTGCAACAAGTACACAATGTACATTTCAGTGACAATTTTTGGCCCGGCAAGATGCCTGGGTGCAACACAGGTGTTGGAAGTGGCAAGGTGCCACATTCTTGTGTGTCTGGAGAAAACTATACGACCAGCTGGACTGAGACCCTGGCAGTGGCTTCAGCAGCCTCCAAACAGGGAAGGCAGTGTTAACAACATGCACTGGGCTTTTCAGTCTCTTGACAGTAAAGTGTCCACGACACAAGGAGTCCTCCAAGAAGTTATTCTTACGAGCGGCATTCATCAGTTTGGTTGCCAGCCCTAGCTTTCTGTGGGAGCGTGCAACTGCCAGCGATGTTATGTGGCCATGGACCTCGCTCGCATCTTCCTCCCTGTCAGCACAAAGAAATTTTGCATTTTGTTTGTATGCTGATTCGCCATCGAGCAGGACAGATCGGTCTGTCATGGCAATGCATGCACCATGAGAGTACGGAAGGGGAGGAAAATCCTGATCACGTACTGGCAAGAGCACAAAAGAGAAGCCCAGCAAACTACTCACATCTTGGCCAAAACGTATCCAACAATCTTCCCGTCATAGTCCTCGGCCACATACAAGAGTTGGGGCCATGAAAGTATGTGATAGAAGTAATACTGCCGCACATGACACAACAGCATATGAGATCCACACTAAAATGGCTCATATCCGAAATGGGCAAGGGCTGGACAAGTTTTGGCACATGCAATGAGGAGTTCCGGAAACACAAAGCCATGATGTGCAAAATGAATTGCCACAGGTTAGCCGGTGGGTCCGGTTGCACACCAAAGGGCAAGCAGGTTAGTGGTGCTTCTAGATTTCGCGCAGGTTCATGTGTCCCTAAAGCACATCACCAACATGTCATCTCTTCGCCAGGTCTGCGCGTGAGCGCCCTTCCCCTCTCACCTTCAACTGGTAGTTTTCTGGCAGGCTGTTAATGCAAGAAAGGCGACACGGCGCCGTCAGCACACCGCAAAACAGCCCGCGACGAAGCTGCTCAAGGTCACACGGGTACTCCACCTACCAGAGCAGGTTGCACCTCTGCATCGCCAGCAGGTCCTTCATCATGGCGGGTCGAATGCTCACCATGCTGGCTCGCGAGGGGCGCACGACAAACAGGCGGCAGCCCACCCGTCCGGGCAAGACGGGAGCCGGCAAGGGTCGCAACAGATTTTGGGTGTCGTCACGGCATTTATCCGCACGTATGATTGTATCGTATTCTGCAGACACTCTCGGCGTATGCTCCAGACTGTGCACAAGGTACTATCGTGCACGGGCCCTGCGTCCAGAGTGTCGTACAACCCTTCCCACACTTGCGCGAGAACGGGCTTGTGGTGGTGTGTGTGGTTCCCGTCCCGTGCGTGCGCAATGCAGAAGGTTGGCTGGGCGACCCACCGAGAGGGCCGGCACAGTGGAGGGCTTGCGGGCTGTGACACAGCGATCGGAACGGAGGTGGAGCGTGCGTTGGGAGCATCGCGCCATGCATTGGAAACTAGGAGCACGGAACGTTGTGGCGTTGCGCTGTAACGCCGCTTCTTGGGACGGTGATTGCGCAAGGGGAGAGTGAAACGGGGCTGTGCCGTCAACAAACAAAGGAAACGGCGCCGCAAATGGTTGACCCGTGCGACATTGAGATGCATCTGGAACAAAATGTATTGGTCAGCTCCCAGGCGGGGTGTTCAGTGCTATTGGCGCAGGATTGCTGGCAGAGCCTCACGCACGGCAATACGTGCGGCAGCATGGGTTAGTGGGAGGACAGGCGGGGGTCTGTTGCAAAAAACGGCTATGCTGTTCTGACGGCGCGCTCCCGGCCTGGCTCAGTTCTGTGGGTGCTAACATTCGCTTACATTGCTGTACCTGTGAGGACTATCTGCGGGTGGTGTCTATCGCTGTCCGCGGGTGAAGTCTTCACACGGTAGCCAGCGGGACTGCAGGACATTTCGCAGAGTCGCTCGGTGTCGCCTCAACATCAAGTCCTTGCTGGCAACGAAATGGGCGTGATCAACTGACATGCCAGAGATAGTGTGAGAATGGCATTACATGAAGAAGGCAGTGCTCCCTGCGTGTGGGCTTTTAACAGTGCGGTGACGGATAAGAGCCGGAGACAAACGCGGCCGGATCTCAGCGGCCCTTGTGTCAATCACTGAAGAGCACAGGTGAGTAGAAGTCCGAATTCAACTTCGAGCACATAATTCTTGAATCAAAGCAAAGCAACCAGCTGACAGCTTGGGACAACAGAAGCGTAATGGGCACAAAAAACAAATAGTTGCAATGGCAGTGTCTTTCTGCCCCTTTGTTTACAAACAGTCCTTGCCAATATGCATCTCTTGCAAGAAAACAGAAGATATGCTACTGTGCACTAAGAAAAATTGAGTCAGGTCCTATATGACACACCAGTGCTGCCACAGTGGTGACGAGCTCTCAGACCTTCACACCATAACCAGAGAAACTAAAGTGCTGGCAACAGAATCTGAGCATCAAGAAGCAGCTCACCCTGTCAATTGAAGGATGCCGGACATCAGTCGATCTGCCAATCAATCTGCGTTAATCCGTTCTTTTCTAGGTATTTGTTGGCCTTTGAAAAATGGCCACATCCAAAGAAGCCTTTGTTTGCTGACAATGGCGATGGATGAACAGTTTCAAGAACACAATGTGCAGCCCTGTCGATCCTCTTTCCCTTCATCTGTGCAGGCTTCCCCCAAAGCAGGAATACCAAACCTTTGCGCTCTTTATTCAGGTGTGAGATGACAGCGTCTGTGAAGTTCTCCCAGCCCTGCTTGGCGTGTGAATTTGGCTCATGTGCACGAACTGTCAGCACAGCATTCAGCAGCACCACACCCTGACCAGCACACAGCAGGCAAATGCATCATTCCCTATCAACGACAATCCTGTGACAGGATGGACACCGCTCAAAGCAAGTTTTCTGGAGCACATTGTTGTTGATGGGAACAACATTGTCCCAGTTTGACAATTAATGTGAGGATGTTGCCTCTGCTGGCACACTTTGTCCACAACAAGCATTCTGCAATGGACACAACTCCCAAAAAGAGGGGCACAGGACTCCCAGGGGCTGATGTGACTCCCTCTCACACTCACCTGCCGTGCCCACTTGCTCAAATCTCCGTGATCAGGAATGCTGCAACCAACGTCACCATGCAGTTCTTTGTACATGTTCCTCAAACTGGGAGGGATCTTCTCCTCTTTCGACACTGAAAAGCACAGCCCCATAGCCTGATTCTCTCCATGGTATGGATCCTGGCCGATTATGACCACCTTAACGCTGTGCACAGACAAATTTCAACATTCAGTTTCCTATGACGTTAAAATCAGCATTATAGAACGTCACCATGGGTCCAACACTCCATGGCTGTGATCAACAACAATATCAACTTCCCCATTCTTGCCCAGATCTAGCAAGCAACGCAGTGTGTGCAACTGCAAGGAGGCAAAACACCATATGGAGCTTCCTGGCAATGCACATACACTCATTGGAGGTTGTGACTGGGAACTTAACAGCATAAGAAATAATGATCAATTGACCACTTGTAACCGCCGCAAATGCTTGCCAAAACCACTGTATTTTTAGACTTGCATAGTCCCCTGGCATCATCCAGCGCCCTGGATTAAATGTTGCTGAATTGTTGAAACAGCAGCCAGCGATGTTCACAGTCTTATTCCCAGCAGTCTCCAATAAAACACAAAGCAAAAGCTGCACACGGCTCTGAGGTAATGCCCTTCAGTGCATACGATTCCCGCAAGCGCTTGTCCCAACCACACCTTTCAAAAGGACAAGAATTCAACGCGTTAAAAAGTGTGTGGCTCGGCGGGAAGATTTTAGTAGTGCTCGACCATTCCTTGTGCACAAAGCCCTGCAGCTTGGCGAAGTATGGCATCCCAAACTCCTTCGACAGTCTCGACTTCCAAGTCTCCTCAACGAGCAGACTTCGCAGCTCAGGATGCTGACCATTTTTCACTGCCGACGCAACAGCCTGCAGAACAAGCGCAACACTGCCATTCTGTAATTGCTGGTTCAACACAAGACCACTCTCTGCCAGCCATCACTGTTGGGTCCGTTGTCCCGCCACCGCAACACAAGCAGTCCACGCACCGGAACACTCTTGCAGTGCGTTCTCCATCGGGAAACGCACAGAAACACCCCATTCGCGTTCAGCTGCCCCGCGCTTTCCGCCAACACCACGATGTGGCAGCGCATTCCCATCGTGCTCGTCTTCCGAACCCAACAGCAACAGACCAACCACGCCCCAGGTCAGCGGCGAACCTACCTGCCGCGCGAGAGCCATGTTCTTATTGACCAGTATGTTCTGTTTCTGCGCTGCAGACAGAGCTGAAGCATCCGGGTCCCCTGGGGCGCCGTCTGTGGCCTGCCCGGCTCCAGATCCGGATGCGGAGGCCACCCTCTCTTCCCGATCAATGGCGGGTACATCAGCATTCAAATCCACCACCTCCGCTCGGGTTGACGTTCCGGCCTGCAAGGAATCTCCCCATCACTTTGACCAAGGTTGCCGGTCACCATTCCCCAGTCACAAAGGCGACACAACGGCCGGACCAAGGGAGGAGCAATATACCCGCTCAGGACGCTGCCTCTTGGGCTGCGACTTGTGGTGAAAGAAGTCCTCGATCGAGCGCTTCCCCATGCCGCCGCCGCGCCGCGTGGCCAGCAACGCCCACGAGTTGCCCCGACGTTTTGGCGGGCACCCATTTTGTAGCGCCAACACCCACCTGGAACGCATCCGCCTGGAAGGCGGGAAACCCGTGTGGTGGTGTCCGTTGAAGGAATGCGGCGAGAAGTGCAGTACATTGTACATTGATGACAGAAACCCAAGGCATCTCTTCCCACAACTGCACAACACTCCCCCACCAACCCCGCACCCACAGGTCGGTGCCTGCGCAAAGCAGACGAAACAGAAACGAATGGCGTGGAGGCTGTTGCGGTCGAGCTTCAGCAGCTTGCCGGCGGCCTGTTCCCAGTGGCGTTCTTACTGGGATAGCGGCGGCGTCCGCTGCCAGGCGAATGCATTTTGGAAACTGCATCACAACCTCAACCGCCGGGGAATGGGGGACGGCGCTGTTCCTCAATTTCCGCCACCAGGCGATGGTGGGTGCAATTATTTCCGTCTACCGGACTATGGGCACACACTGTCCGTTGTTTTGGTCCATTAATGTCACATCTGCGTCAGTCTTGGCTTCAACGTCGGCTCCAAATGGACCCAATGCGTGATTGCACAACCCCAGTGCGCAGCCGATCATGCAGGATAGTTCTGTGAGCCTGTAGTGGCGTCCAATTGCTGCACAGACACTGGCATGAGCATCCTAATCGATCAGTCCGCAGTTCGAAAACTCCCTCCTCCGTTCATGGTGATCCCACATAATGAGCAACAATTGTGGTCAAGTGAGATAAGCAGTGGAGCAATCTGCTACGTTGTCACTCGGCACTCTAGTTTACAGTCTTTGTTTGTCCTGAGTATATCCTGTGGTGCATTGCAGGGACCCTTGGCAACCTGGTGTTCCCTGTTTACGACCTGAGAAAGCAAAAGGTGGGCTGCAGGGAGGAAGAGGGAAGCAGAGTTCCCAGGTCCTGTTAGATTTCTCGCCCGCTACTCAAGGAATGGGCTGCTCATGAAATCAACGCAGGCTGGTGATGGCAGCTACACAATTGGACAGCTGGGCACTATTTTCCTGTGCAGGTGGGCACAGTTGCCCTTGGCAAAGACGTTTTCAACGTGCCCGTCAGAAGAGACATCCTTCAAAGGGTTGTGCGCTGGCAGCGAGCCAAGAAGCAGCAGGTACTTGGCGTCTCGCCGAGCCCATAGGCGGTCGTCCATGTGCAGCAAGTTCCATTTCTGTTTACAGATTGAGACTGTTTTCAGGCTAAGACAGTCAAAAGTATGGTAACTCTTACTTCGGTCCAAACAGAGGGGCTGCATAATGCGTGGCTCTTCAACCCGTTTGAGGACTGAGGACCACTAATATCTGAAGCATTTGTAGCCGTGCAAGGTGCTTGAAGTTGCAAGAATCTGTTGTGTCGCCACACCAAGGAAGCTTGAAGGCAGTGTGATTCCGCATGTCAACATTGCTGCCCATTTTGATAGCTTGCAAGTACACCAGACTTCATGAACCAAGGAATTTGTCAGTCTGTAAAAAGCAAGGGAAGTCGCGCAAATTGCAGCGAATTGTTTGAATTTTGGTGCAAGTACCAGTATGCATGGAATGTTGTAACCGCAGGCACAGGGATAGCCACAACTGCAGTTGCTCGTGCCATTGGATTGTCACGATCAACACCAAAGTGACTGAGAACCCATTGCTTTGGCATGCTACCACTGCTCCCTGCAGCCAACAACTCCCAAGATGTAGGATAGGGGCAGTGACTTTCCAGATTCCATTCATTCCCAGCTGACCTTGTGGTGGTGCACGTTGTGCTGCAAATCGCATGTGTCCTTCTGCATAAAAGTCGAGACTGACCTTCATAAACGAAACTTGTGTGCCAAAGTTTTCTTCCAGCATTGCCTCCCATTGTCACACACCCCTCAGCAGCAAGGTGTTAGCTCCGGCACACCCCGAACAACGACTGCCACAGTTGCTGTGTCACCACCAGCTGGCATGACTGTGCTCTCTTGCTGTTGTGCAGGGCACCCACAAGACCAAAACGCGCAGTGAAGTTAGCGGTGGAGGAAGGAAACCGTGGCCACAGAAGGGCACTGGCAATGCTCGGCAGGGAAGCATACGGGCACCACAGGTAGGCTGAAGTGTACACTGGAGTAGACAGGAACGCCTTTCTTGTTGTGAGCAATATCAACAGCTATAGTGCCCTCTTGGAATGCACTGGAAGGGAGAGATGGATCCAACGAAGCACATGCTGAACCTGCAATGCATCGGACAAGATGATGCTCACTGTTGATTTGAACTGTCTGGTGCCCATTTGTGGGGAATGTGGCTGTGCACAGAATGAATGTGCACATATGTGTATGTATGGGTACAGCTGCTGATTTCTTCTGTGACAATAATTTCTCAGTTTGACCCACCCTACAGCTAGTCATTGTTGCTTACACTATTGGGCTGTGAGTGTGTGCAATTGTTTAAGCAACAAACATTGCAGTGAACTTTAGTTTGCCTTAATCCCATTGTACGTGCTTAATAACACTACCCATGCGTCTCTTGGCCAAGAATGCTGTCAAACACAGGCAACAGATCCACACAGACCTTGAATGTCATGCATATGCTGGCTTGTGTCACAGTTTGGGGGTACTGAGCACGCACAGGCACCCCTCAACCTGGCGCTGATCCGGCAGGCCAGCTATTAACGCCATTGCAATAGATATCCATGGCCATGATTGAGTTGCTGAATGCTTTTAATGTGAAAGAGGGCATTTGCAGTAGTGTTGGCTCTGAACATTGTATGGAGAGAGTATGGGCTCTGTACTTACCTGTACGTGCTCTGGACGTTGCTGAAGGTCTTAACCTCTGGCATCTTTCCAGTGAGCGCCACGTTTTGCACACATAGACAAGTCTCTGCCCCATTTCAGGCTATATGAACTTGCTGTTTAAGGTGGTGAAAGACTTGCATAGGAACCAAGAGTAGTCTGTCGTGGCACAAAGTTTCAGTGCTCATACCAAGGGTAGTATGCGCATTGTATTGTCATCCACTACTTTAAGATTGCAACATTTCTTGACTTGGTGCATACTGTTCTGGTCCAGTGGCGGGGTGGAGGAATTGCTCATGGGCCAGTGCCACGCTGCCATGCCCACAAACTACCAAAGAAAGTCAGGAGACTAGGGCTGAAATGTGCTCTCTCAGTAAGTTCTTGCAGCTGGGTGCACTGTTTATTCAATGATGTGGCGGGAGGTCCTGGACAGCTCCTCCTGGCCGTGCTGTGGCTCTTCTATGTTCCAGAAACCTCTGGACTATTGCAATGGAGTCTGCGGTGATGGCAGATGCACCACCGACAGTGTTCAGTCATGCAGCTCGTTGGCCTGTGCAGTGGTCCCCAGAGTTCACCACTACTTTGGTTCAGCAACAGCAGAGGTTTGGCCTGGTCTCACAATTTAGCCGTGTTCATTGAAGACATCAGCATTCCTATTGTGGTGTGTGCACAACAGACATTCTTTACAGGCATTCACCATTTCAGGGATGTTCTGGAAGGCAACAATGGCTCACTGTATTTTTGCTTGAAAGCGACGAACTTGGCATTGGATACTGATATGATACAATCCACCTGGGAGCAGGGCCAGGTCGCTTTTTTTGGGAAGTGTTCAGGCTCACAGTGGTGTTGATTGTCTTGTTAGGCCAAGACAGTGGAACAGCGGTTACTGATAGTTGACTCCATTGCCATGGACGATGGGAAAACGGTGAGCTTGCAGGAGCAATAGGTGCACAGAAACTCTGGGTTGACTATTGGGCTCAACAACAAAGATGCTGCTGATGTTTACAGCCCATTGCTCAGCTCCCACACAACCATTTGCTCTTGGAACGTGGTAGAATATTTTCTTGCAGTTCGAGCCACTGCAGGAACTACGGCCTGAATAGCATGAGCTGTTTTGCATTCTTGTGTCAACACATGTTCCGAAATAGCTGAATTTGGACATGTCACAGTGTTTGCTGTCGATTGTCACCTTCACCTTGCAGTCTTGCCTGCTCATTTCTCACCTGCTTAATTGTGGATCGCCTTTGCAGAAACACCTCAGCGAGCGACTTGATGTACTGCTGGATGGGGCACCACGGCGGTCAGTGCTGCTTATTGATAGTGGAAAGCAGGCGCCAGATGGAGGGTACGGTGTAGTACTCCTCATTCGAATGCTTGTCAATGTGATGTGTACTTTAGGGTGCACACAGCATGGGCTGCAGTTTACCATCGGTCGATGTTCTTTGTATTTGTATTTGTATTTGTACTTGTATTTGCATTTATGCTTGTGTTTGTATTTGTGCTGCTCTTCCTTTCTGGCAGAAACTCAATAGTGTGGTTGCATTGCAGATTCCCACTAATTTTCTTGTGTTTGATGCAGTGAATTAGTAAGACGGGCGGGCAGCAATCTGCCAGGAGTTGATGTCCTACCCTCTGAGGTGTGTAGATGGCTGCCTGCATTGTCGATGGTGCCAGTTGTTCCCATTCCCTTTTGCATTCAATGCAATTGCTGCATCCCTTCCAAAGACATCCAATTATATGAAGGGCACTTGTAGCGGTCAGATGGTTTTGTAGTTTCGGCTGAGTCGGCTCGACTGCATATTGTGTGCTCATGGCGTGTTTTGGTACCTTGCATCTGTTTAATGCCTGACCCCTATTCTCAACAGACTCAGCAGACAGTGGCTGTTGTGCATGGCATTGCATGGCCACAAGACAGGCGCTTGATCACATGCATTCAAATGTCCCAGGGTGTGGGGAAGGAACTTTGGGGAGTGCTTTCTAGAGTGGTTGACACAGAACAATGTGCAGTAGAACAAATCCTGTTGGCCATGGGGCGATGTGGGCTGCCCACATCTTGGAATCAAACTGTACACATGCATTCCAATCGGGTTCCATGTGCAAAGAGATGAAGGAAATACAATACACAACATTATCCAGCAGCTGTTGGTTCAGTGGATTGTTGTCTGACGGGGAATTCACCAAGCCTATCGCACCATTTGGTGATGTAGCGGCTGCAGCAACGTAGTGTCTCAGCGCTTGTGATGCTTCAAGTGGTCATTACAGTGTTCAGCATCTACTGGTATTGGAAAATATGAAGGCAACAGCAGCCTGTGGAAATGCATCTCTCCAATATATCACCAAACATCACCAAAAAGTGAGGGGCTGCCATTGCCTGGAGAACTCATACACAGTATGCAGGGTCACTTTTGTGCATGATGCACATCGCTGCCTGTTGTCATGCTAGGGGTTGAATGTCTACAGCATCCTCAGACGTGACATTCTAGTCCTCACAAGGGGCGCAGTGGACTTGGTGACGGAACGCCTGCGGCGGTCTATCAATCGGTAGCCCAAGCTAGAACTGCAACCAACTGTACCGATGCACCATGCTTGCATGCAACAGGCCGCAAACATGTTTGCGGCTTGTACCGGGTCAGTTTAGCGCTTGTGCTGGTGGTGGCTCTTTACTTCGGATTGATTCAGCAGGGCTGGCAGCCATTTTAATTGGTACCATTAGAACAGTGTTGGGTTTGGCCTTGCGGATGCTGAGAGGCTGTTGATTCGTGGTTGATCTGTGATATGCATTCTGATGGAATACAGAGCTAACCATATGTTTTATTGTCTTTCAATGGAGCTGCACAATTTGTGGAGGAGTCGTTTCTGGGCACATAGATGGCAAGAGCATGCACCTATAAGCTATGGATCCAGTGATGCCATCGTCAGTAGTTTGTTTCACCATCACTAGAAGCGAGTACATAAACTGCATGATATTCAGCCGGTCCAATGTCATCCAGACGGCTTGGATTCCTGCAAAGACGTGATGGAAACAAAATTTGTGTGCTTGGCCTGAAGTTGTTGCGAAGCTTGTGTTGCGATGTAATTTGGGACCCAAGGCCCTCCCAGAATGCTGGCCCAGGTGGTCATCAGCGCTACAAGGCTCCACAAGAACGCCCGTAGAGCAGCCAGGAACTTCATGCTCGGAGGGTAATTCCTGGCACCATAGTTGTGGAAGCAGCGATCTTACCTTTGGGCAACCAGTAGGTGTAGCCATATTGGGCTGCCGGCTAAGCGCTTGAAGGGGGTTAAAATTGCATACAATCTGCCTTCAGTCGGCAAGAAAAAGGGAAGGACCGTCAACATTTGACTCGTGGCACGAAAAATAATGAAAGCCCCAGGAGACAGTCCAACGGCAAGGAGAAGCGAAAGCGAAGTCCCTGGCAAAACTCCTTATCCACAAGACTGGAGAGCGACGCTTCAGAAAGACCGAAAGCTGAATGCCAACAACGCAAGAGGGCTGCTCACGAAATCACCCCACATTTTCAGCATTCACACGTTTTCCCACATTGACCTTCCCTGCCAGATTCGGCCTTCCAGCCCAGTGCCATCGCGCAACGGGGGGCCACGACGCGCCATCGCTGTCCCCCCCCCGCCAACCTCACTATGAGCCCCGACGGGCAGTCGCACCTGGAGCGAATTGGCGGCGCCCTCAAGAATGTCCAAAGGTGAACAACCGCCCCTCTGGCCCCTGCCCCGGCCGCTCGTTGTGTGCACTCGGTGGAACACCGTTTGACGTGCTGCGAACCGTCGTCCCAGTTTTCTTCGAGGGAATCGTGTGCCAGGAATGGCAAAGCGGAAGGAGCAGCCCGCGGAGCCGGGGGCCCCCCACGGGCCATCGGAGTCGCCCATGGCCAGCTCCAGCGGCAGGACAGAGCGGGCAGCTCCAGAGCCGGGTGCTGCGGTCTACAATGCGGTGCGTCATGACCAGCAGGTAGGTGAGACTGGTCTGCGCTGCCGAGCCGCAGACTCGTATCGGTTGTCAAGGAGGCTTGGCGGCAGTTGATGGGGCCTGCGCTTGGGGATGTTCGTTGCCATGCGTTCCCATCTGCAGGGAGATGTTTTGTTGTTGTGCGACGCCCAAGTCGAATCAACGCTTTTGCTCACCGGGAAAGCGCTGCGGGACAGATTCGGTCCGACGGAACGTGACCTCTGGGATCTCGGGGACTAGTTGGCTGTGGGGTGTGTTGCTTCTCCGATCCTGACCTTGGGAGCGCGGTGTGCTGGAACCGCTGCAGGATGGCGGACACCAGGCGTTGGGTCCGCGGGAGCCTCCGGTCGTCCACACTGCGCAACACGCAGCGGCTGAAGGCGTGCGTCGCGGGAGCAGAGACGAAAATTCGATGCAGGAAACTTCAACATCGCGGGGACTGCAACCAGTGGCGAGGAGCAAGTCGATCCTACGAGAAGGAAAGTTCCAAAAATTGCTGAAGGCAAAGATGGTGAGTGCAGAAGGAGGGAACTAGCGGGAGTGCCTAATGGGAGGGAACTAATGGGAGGTGCCTTGGGGGGGTGCTCATGAGGGAATTGTTCCCACCACTCTAGAATCAACATTGTCTGGCTTGTTCTGGCATACTCCGGCTGCCATTGCCTTTGAATTCCAGTCTGCAGTGTTTATCCAGTGTGGAGTTGTTTCTGATGACTGGGACAGTAGGGGTCCTCATCGCCTTTTTGGCCTTCTAATGCATGCCGCAGGTGAATATGGACAGCCTGCGAGAACTGGCCTGGAGCGGAATTCCACCGGGGCAACGTGCAGTGTGCTGGCGACTGCTCCTTGGGTACCTCCCCCCAAACAGGTGGACTTGGGTCTGTTGCCCTTGCCTTGGGACAGGGCCTCACACTCTTGACAAGTCTCTGCTGTGGACTGTGCACCTGTGCAGGCGGTGGCATCCCTTGGAATTGCCTTGACAAAGACAAAGCGGTGCCCTTGCACAATGTTAGAGATGACAAGCATCTACTCAGCCAAGAACGTTTTTGTGTCCCACATCCTCTCAGTTTATTCGATAGCCATCCATGCAGCACCTTGTCAGGCAGAGCTGATACTGGTTTGTAACATCTCTTTGCAGTGAAAGGCAACATCTTGTCTTGCAAAGGAAAAGACGAGAGTACCAAAGCTACGTTCCCGAATACTACGACATTTCCAACAGCATGCGTTCAGAAGAGGAGGTTGGTGCACTGCGGCAGGTGGGAGTGGATGTGCCCAGAACAGCGCCTGGTGTGCCTTTCTTCCAGCAGCCAGCTGTGCAGAAGTCCTTGGAAAGGATATTGTACATATGGGGCGTCCGGCATCCTGCCAGTGGGTATGTGCAGGGCATCAACGACCTGGTGACGCCATTCCTGGTGGTGTTTGTGTATGAACATCTCAAAGGGCCCATGGACACCTGGCAATTTGCCGATCTACCAGAGGTAAATTTCCATGCATATGCGTGTGGTGATGGGATGTTTTGCAGCCATCTGGGTCAAGACAAGACTTTGCCTTGAGCTGCAGATTGTATTTCATCAAGTCACCTGAGATTTGGACTTGAGTCTTATTTCTTCGACCTTGCCAGCGCCTTCTTGGAATTATGCCTACCCTGCCCCAGCTCAGTGATGTTGTTTAGGTGATCGAGTTGAGTCGCTTCATGAATTATCCCCAGTGGCATTGTACTGAACGGTGTTTGGAACCTTGAAACCACAGCCTGATGGAAGTTGGCAAAGATGTGGTCTGTGGGATATGCCTTTCAATAGTATATGCCAAACCTGTGACACCTTGCACTTGTCCTTTTCTTGCAGGATGTCATTCTCGACGTTGAGGCAGACTCGTATTGGTGCCTGTGCAAACTGCTAGATGGCATACAGGATCACTACACATCGGCACAACCAGGGATCCAACGTGCGGTCTTCAAGGTCAGGGAACTGGTCAGGTGACAGTCAAGCCACTAGTAAGGAGGAGGTCCACTGCTGAACGATGTTAAGCACTTCAAATGCAATATGGCGCATGTTCATCCACTGCAACTGCATGCACTTGAGATGTGTAGTGGCGATTTGATGGTGTGCACAGTTCAAATGCAATACGGCGCATGTTCACCCACTGCAACTGCATGCACTTGAGATGTGTAGTGGCGATTTGATGGTGTGCACAGTTCAATCGAATACTATGCAACAGAAGTTATAGGGTCCCAAAATTTGCACATGCATACCTAGAATCGGCTTTCAGTTCCAGTGCAAAAATGACAGTTTTTCTTGAAGCTGTAGCAATTGTGCTTGCAGAGCATTTGCGACTTTTGACAAGCTGTCTTGTGCTAAAGATCATCACCAATGCCATTTCTGCACAAAGCCTATCCACTGTCGTCCTGTGGCAAGAAATTCTGGGTGCTATTGGCACCTTGCAGCCTACTCTCAAGGCACGAACGAGCCTCTTTTGGTCACAAATGGTCAGGTGCTGCTTCAGTTATGCCCCAAAGAAAATGATGGGCAGGTTATGACCTGGAAGCTGTAAGCAGCAGTCACACTTCTGAGGGATATAATGGTGAGACAGGCTAGAAGATGTTGATATGATCAACATAGTTGACCCAGATGCTGAAACGGTTGAACCCAAAATTGCGTTTTGAGCCTCCCAGATTAGAGTGGCTTCGTCGTGTGGATGTGTGCTGTGTGAATGGTGGGCTCCCTGGATTTGGGGTACCTGCAGCTTCTTATGACGGAAAGTGCAACATTTTCTTCACGCATTGTGTTTTGGCTAAAATGAGCATGTGTCGAGCATCCACACTGGCCTGGTGGCCTCATGGATGGATAAGAAGCTTGCCTTGCAGGGTACCGTCCAGCTTGAGTGCATACTAGTGGTGCCGAGGCATGAATTCAGCAGACCATTGGCCGCTCTCCCTGATGGCAGAATGTGGTGCCTACTATGGACACATGCAGCCCACATGGTTCTTCAGCCTGTTGTGTGCAGCCACCGAACAGCACTGTGCTCCTGGCAGTGCATGCAAACGCACTATAAAATATTTGCCCTCATTCCATATGATTCTGCTGTAGTACTTTAACGAACAATGCAATGTCTGTGCAAGTTTCTGCTCGTTCCTTGAAGCCCAGGAAGGCGTTTGATGGCTGAAAGTGGATGTGCTTGCAGATGTCCAATTGGTGTGTATTGCTTGGTTTTGCAGACGAATTGATGAACGTGTTGCGCAGCACCTTGACGACCAGGGCATAGATTTTCTCCAGTTTGCTTTTCGATGGGTTAACTGCCTGCTGGTGCGCGAAGTGCCATTTGACGTGGTGGTTCGCCTGTGGGACACATATTTGGCTGAAGGCCAGAGATTCAGTGACTTTCTGGTGAGTCTCATGGCTGTCACAGCAGAGAGGAACTGCCCTGATAGGATTTACAAGTGTACTGCATCACTATCAGGCTGAAATTTGATGCAGCAAGTGGTTTGGAGTTCTTGAGAATTCACTCATCACGACTACCAAGAACAGTGCGATTCGCTCTGCGTCGCTGCACAGTCAGCCCATGCTTTGCTGCAGTATTGCTCGCCTGAAGCAGTGGGATTTGTGCTTATGCAGTGGTAGCATTGGTTTGCTGCAGGTCTATGTCTGTGTTGCATTCCTGCTGCACTGGTCTGAAGAGCTCCAAAGGAAGGAGTTCCAGGAGATGGTTATCTTCTTGCAGCATCCCCCAACTACCGAGTGGACTGAACAGGAGATCGGGGTCGTTCTGTCTCATGCGCACATGTACCGGACAAGCTTTGAGAAAGCACGAAGTCATTTGAGCTGATCGGGAGTGAACGCTGGATGCACTGTAGTCATGTCCTGCTGCAGAGGGCTGTGTCTTGGAGGAAAGGCACAGCTGTCTGCCCAATTGGTTTCCAGATTACTGGCCAAGGCTGGTTATGACTCCACCTTTGTTGATTTTTGCTAGTCGCTGCGGCAACTTTGGGCTCCTGCCGTCCTTGGAGTTGAACGCAATAATCTGGCTTTCTGTGACCTTGCGCTGTGCTCACCATCCCTCATTCTCCTTTGCATTCGGCCCATAGTGGTGCTGCACAGACATGACATCGCAGCTGGACTCCAGTTGTGATGATGACCACCACGGTGGCAAGGAGAGCAGGAAACCTTTGTGCTGGCGGGGCTGACCTAGGGTTTCGCTCAGCTTGCACTCCTGCCTCTTTTTCTGTGTGAAGAGTACAACAATCCAAGAATAGAACACCACACAAGCGACATGATCACTTGCAATTTGTCCTTTCCATATGTCAATCAACCAGGTGACCACCACGGTGGCAAGGAGAGCAGGAGACCTTTGTGCTGGCGGGGCTGACCTAGGGTTTCGCTCACCTTACACTCCTGCCTCTTTTTCTGTGTGAAGAGTACAACAATCCAAGAATAGAACACCATACAAGCGACATGATCACTTGCAATTTGTCCTTTCCATATGTCAATCAACCAGTCGCACAACTTGCAAACACACTCTGTCAGACGGTTTTGCAGATTCGCAATTGTCCGCGTGTTGGTGATGCCACATAGTAATCACCGTCGAACTGGGTGAATCAGTCAGGCAAGACATTATGTCGATTTTGGTACGCTTAGCGTCAAAATTGACGCAAAGGGGGGGGAGGGGGCGTCTGATTTCTGACGCTAAGAGACTATGCAATTGCCGCAAAATCGACATAAGGAGGGAAGGTGCCATTGATAAGCGGCAGACAACCCGTGACATGTTCCTAAGCCTCTTGCAAGTGTTCGATCATCAAAGAAAGCCCTAGAATGCATCAATTTGCAGTCACTGAGGCTGCCCGCCTCACCAATAATGGCATTGAGTTTCCCATTTTCCAACCCGCTGAAATCTGCACAATTTTGATTGCTTTTCTCCTTAAGAACACCTGGCAATTGAATACAAGTATCAGGTAATATTGCTGAGTCATCCTGGCTTCGACATAAGGATTGATGCTGGGGGTGTGGGGTGTGGTGGTGGGGTCTCTAAGCTCAACGTTAAATTGAAACTAAGCGTACCAAGAATCGACATAACGTCTTCCTTTATGCAACAGGGCCACGATAGGTATTTATCATGTGTGCACAATACACTTTGTGTGTGACTGACCTGGAAAGCTGCCATTTCTTGAAGAATGAAAGGAGAACAAAACAACAAAAACAAGGAGAACACTAAGAAATTGACCAAGATGTGCAGGCCTTCAGAGTGTGCTTGGGAGGAGGATGGCCAGGGAGGCAAGGGACGACTGCATGGAGTCGGCTTGTGTCCTCAACAGTCTCTGGTCACTGGTCAGCTCCCCAGACTGACCAGATCAAAGGCCAGGTCCTGAGCCAAAAAGGGTTGGGCAGTGGGGGAAAATTGGGCTAGCCTAATCAGAAATGCCCTGATCATCTGAGGGCCACTGAGACCGGCCAAGCTGACCAGGGAGCCATATGATCTCTTGACTTGCATGATAACGGCTTTCATGTGACTAACAAAGTTATGTTTAGGAAAACTTTTGCTTTAACGCAACCTTGCCGGTGGGACAAGCTGTCTCGCCGCCCATCGCACCAGGCCATTAGCCCAACAATCGCAGAACTGCCGCCAGCCATCTCAAACTCACAACATTCTCACATGATCGCGGGTCCAGCGTCACCACAAAAGCACCAAAACTTGTGAGCCCAACAGTCCCTCTCCTGAGTCAGCAGTCCTGACACATTGCCCAAATATGCTTGCAGACAAATTACAAAAATGACAACATCGGGGTTGTCGATGTTCGATCGGAAATGGGAGTGCCGTCTTGGCATTTTGGCGAACGGATTCGGGGCAACGAGAATCACCTGAGAATGTGCGCTCTCAATCCCGCGCCAGGCCAGGCTGGTTCCTGAAAGCTCCACCAGGCTGGTCCCGCCATTCCTGGCGCGGTGAACCAGCCATCGCTGGTGCGCAGCCCCGCAGCGAGCAGCGGTCCAGTCGCTGCGCGTCCGTGTCTTCCCTGATGGCGTCGCCTGTGGCGGACGCCCTACTGCTGATGGCTGAAGATTTTGTCGCCAGCAAGTGCTACCTCCAGGCCATTCAGTGCCTGGAGGCACTGTGCAGCATCGACTCCTTCCCGGTGCAGCGCGCCAGGGCGCATCTTCAGCTGTCGCGCGTCCTGTTGGAGCACACGCACAACACTGTGGAGGCCAGGCAACACGCCCTGACAGCGGTGGGTACGCAGTCTCAGCTTCGTTCTCTATTCATACGCGACAGACGTTGCCTGGCGAGGCTAGGAGGCGGCTGTCGGCTTCCCATTTCGCGGGCATGTTGCTGCACGGAACAAGCGGGGGCTCGAGCGGTCATGGCATCTGGCGGTTTGCCGCCAGGGTGGTCACCTGTTGACGTCGTCCGCTGTCCAGGAACTCCTGGTTGCAGGCATTCGGTCCTGCTTCCACCTCAAGTGCGAGGTGCTGAACCACGTCGGTCTCTGCCACAAGGTCTTGGGCGACGCTAAGAGCGAGAGGAAAGCGTATCAAAAGGCCTTGGCTCTGTGCCAAGCCTCAAGGCCCATGGCGGACAAGTGAGTAACGGGACTACTCCACCTGCCGCCAGGCAAATGGACATCACTCTTGGCGGGACTTCCTTTTTCGTCCATCATTGCTGAAATCTTGCCAGCCAACATGGTCTTGACGGCGCTTTTCTTGTGAGTGATGCTGAATATGCTGTTTCTTTGCCCAGTTCTGCAGTTTGTGAATGGGCATGCCACTTTTATGCCCAGTTGGCGGACGTGGCCAGCAACGAAGGCGACTTTCGTGCTGCCACGGCATTCTTGGAGAAGGGATTATCCACAGCCAAAAATGCACAGATTGATCACTTGCAGGTGAGCACCAACGGTTAAAGCTCAGGTGGATTAGCCCATAACTGCGGTCACATGTGTCCATCTTTGTGGTGTTTGCGGTGCTCGCCGTGCTTCCGTTTGTCTGGTATTTGAACATAAAAATCTCTGGATTTACGTGCATTCGACAGGCAAATGTTTGCAAGGGTGGAACTACGAGTGGTGTGTCCAAGGCCAGATGCCCCTAAATTTGTTGTTGCATGTGTTGATCATTGCAGATTCTCTTCAAGATATTTGAATCCCAGCTTCAGCTAACGAAGTCCAATACCTCAGGCTGTGAGGCATTGCTGGCCGAGATTGACTCGCTCCTGCAACTCAACGCAACTCTTTTGAATGAGACATTCACAGCCCAGGCAACCATTCAAGTGAGCGTGATTAGAATTCTGCTTCATCTGAAGGTCGGAAGGCTTGCTGACCTGACAAAAGATGTGGCTGAGGATACTCCTAATGGGAGCTCTGGATCTCCGGGCAAGCCAAGAAGATACCCAGTAGTTGTGAAGTCCATGATGGCGGCATTAGAACAGCTGCAAGACAAGGAGATGGCCTACGTATGGCTCCCATGGCATGCAGCATTCGGGGTGTGCTCTTTGCTATCTGCCGTGCTATTGAAGCATGTCGGAAAGCTGAAGCTTGCACATGAGTGCATATCATCGGCACTGTCAACTGTAGATGGGGCATTAGCTGCTATTCCGATTCAATTGGAGGCAGGGGAAGAGGCCCTGGGGTCCCTGGCAGTGCACAAAGGAGCCCTATACGTTGTGCTCATGTTCCTGCTGTTGGAGTGCAAAGCACAATTGTGGATGCTCAGCAGTCAAATGGAGGATGCCAGAGTTTGCATCGTCAAGGCACTTACATTCGTTGACAAATTTCCAACAATTTGTGGGAATTTAAGGTGGGTGTGCACTTCCACACTTGTTGAACATCTGGAGTGTGATTGATCAGGGGGAAAAGGTGTCACAGCCCAGAGGGCTGTTGATTTGGTGCCGACCAGCCCCATTTGGAAGTTTGTCGCTGTCCTTATGTGTTCATGCTGGCCCTGCAATGGCAGCATCCAGTTAGTGCACTTTGCTGCAACTGTTGTTCTGTGATTCTGTGAGACAGATGTGACAGGCGCCTGCTGCTGCTGCCTTACAGGACCAGCGGCCATTTGCTTGCTGGGATGTACCTATACGAGGTCGAATGTCCTCAAGATGCCATTCGTCATTTCAACGCCGTCAGAGAGTTGAATGGCTTGTCCTCTGAAAACGCACTGTCATGTGTGTACACGGCATTTGCAGAACTGGCTAAAGGGGACGATGACAGCCTTAGTCGTGGAATCGATGCCCTCAGCAAGCACCACAGCAAGCCAAACAATGAGTCTGATGCCCTTGAACATCTCATTGTGAACTTTGGAGCAGGTGCGTGGTCGTTACAGAGGTGCCAATTGCTTGGCAATGCATGGGGAGGGTTTCATGTTACTCCACCAGGAATATGGGCAGCCCAGGTGCTGTTAGCTACATCCACGGTGGGGTGCAAATGTCGGGATGTGTCCCCTTCTTTGGAGGAGGGTAGGGTATCATTTCTGTCGTCATAATTACCAAACGAGGGCTCCCAGAAACGTTGTGGCATCAGTGACATTACAACTTGTGCTTCTAAATTCCTATTGGGAGCTGTGATGGTACAGTTCTGTACAGTTCCAATGCACCTGCACATGGCTATGCATGAAACACAGTGTTGATGTGCGTGTGGCTGAATTTCGGTCATCGCGATGAACACCGGATTTTGTTGCAAATGGAACATGTACTGTTGTGTTCCCAATTGAACTGCGTTTGATGTAGTTTTCATGGCAATGACATTGTGGAACACAGTCGAGCAGTACAGCAGTCGAACAATCCCTGGTGGTCCTGGATGACTCTGAATGCATTCTGTTTTGTTGCATTGCCATCGAAATGCAGGGAATTTTCCAGCCAGTTGCCTTTTCTTTCCAGTGGAAAGGAACTTAGCCTCAAAGTGCAAAGAACGTTTGGCTTGGCCTGCAAATTCGCTCAGATATCATGATGGAGTGCATCCCATCATTTGTTCTCAAGTCTTTTAGTGGATGGCAAGTAAATGGACAGATCAGCCTGTGTCATGACAGATTGTGGACGTATGGACGTGTCTAATTCTAATTGTTCTAAAGTTGAGGTGGAGCTTCAACTGACATGCTGCAGTTCTGTGCAGCCTACATGAATCTTTTACAAGGCCATACTGTAGAAGCGAAGACGCTGCTGACTCGAGTACTCAAACCAGCCCACCATGGTGTTGGCAACCACCAACTGGTGTGCCAGCTGCTAAACCACATGAGCGCATTCCAACTTGAGATTGGTGACATTGATGGCGCCCAGCAAATGCAGATCTCGAGCTTGACGCTGGCCAAGAATTCACACGATCTGCCCTCTCAGATTGGGGCCCTGGCTGCAATGGAGGATATGTATAGGAAACGGCGCCAGGAGGACAAAATGAAAGCAACTATAGAGTATAGGCAGAAGAAAGAGAAACAGCTGAAAGAGGCAGTGCAAAAGGCTGCTGCAAACAATTCTCAGCATCTGATGATCGCTGGCTGGAATGTGTCATGATGGCATCGAATACAATGGGATGTTGGCTGCTCACAAAATAGTGACCGCTTTCAGTTCGCTACCGCAAGGTGTGTTACCCTATATTGTTTCGCCATGGCAGAGGCGTGATTCTTGTAGCCAGCCGGTGCTCTTGTAAAATAGCTGAATTTCCCATGATGACATATCGCGGACAACGCTGCCCTTCAAAGAATTGCAGGAGGCGTGTAGTCCTGTTGTTGGAGATATGCTGTCCTTTTGTGTTGCCGAGCACAGTGGTGTGGCGCTGGCGGGCTCTGGCCCCAGGATTCCACGAGGCCGCCTGAACAACGCAGGTGCCAAATTCATGGACGCTGAGGAGTTCCACAAACCATGACGGCGACAGTTCCAACAGCGCACACTGTCTGTTTGCTGGAAACACATCAGACCATGGTGCGGCGTCCCATACGGGCCAGGTGGAGCGTGCATACCCCATTCACAGCATTCTTGTCTGCGAAAAGAATTACTTCTCTTGGAGCTGCAGCACCGCAGGGGCTGTCGTTGTGTTGTGGCTTCCAATTCAGCCGGTTCAATCAGTTGCTCGGCCGTGCTCTTGTCGCTGAGTCTCTGATACTTCTGTGCCTTGTGCGTCCATGTGGCACACAGTTTCGCGCAATGTCGAGATGACCCAGTCCCCTGTTTTGCGAATCAGCACTCTGAGCCTCCCCAAAAGAAGTCTCTCCCTAAGAGAGTGTACAAACGGTTGGTGCTGTTCTTGAAGTACGAGTGCAGTTGTTCCACCATGGTAGGGTGCATCCTTCGGCCTTTGTACTGGGTCTGGAAGGATGACCACAAGAGCCATTAGAAGACCAACCCGTTGAAAAGGGCGTGAAGAAGCCAGTGTATTGTACAGCCACGACAAGCAATGAAAACATGATGGAACATTCGCAGTACCAAGAATTTGGATGGGTAGCCTCACAGCTGATAGCCGCTGAAGGCAGCACGTTCAAACTTCTGGCAAGGGGGGATAATATCGCCGTTCGAGACACTCAGAGAACACTGCAAGCAAACTACATGTGGCATCGTCGACGAAGGAAAACCACTGGGTTTTCTAAGGAACGGGCTACTGGGGCTTACATGAAGCACTGCGGTGTCACCCTCCAAATGGCTTGCGAAATACTTAAAACAGCACTCTGATTTGCGAGACCGTGTGGCCAGTTATAGCATAGCTCACCTTCATGCCTGGAGGCAGCTTCCTGTACTTGAATCTGTTCGGGTCAGCCCCAACGAAGTGCAGCACCTCAACCACCACTTGCTCCGTATTCTCCACAAATTCCTTGAAGTCAATGAACATCAGGCTGTTTGCAAGAAGAGCAGGAAAAGATTAGTCCATTCCTAGATTCCATTGCCTGCCTCAATGCTGATCTGAGAATGATTGGTGTATGCTTAGGATTCTCGCTGCTGATAGGACGGTAGATCAGTTTCCGACTCTAGAGTATCTCGAATTCATTGATGCATTTGTTGCCGTCAGTGATCAGTGGCCAAACAGAACTTCTTTTCCATCTTCTATCCTGATCTGTTATCCTTCAGAAGGGTTCAGGAAGTGCGATTTTTCTAACGATGACATCCACACTGGTCTGAAACGTTTGCAATGATTTTCGCATTCGTTGGCAACGCCGGCACAGTACATTAAGTGTCAGGACACCCCACTCTGGGGATCCAGTACTTCCGCCACATGCGGCCACATTGGCGGCCACATTAGCGCTCACTTGTCTCGGGGGAAATGCTGTAAAAAGGGCTCGATCCTGTCTGCGTAACATCCGGACTTGAGATAGCTGGCAAAGCTCGAATAGAAGAACTGAGGCAGGCCATCTGGTAGGGGTCCGTCGGCCTCGAGGTTCTCCAGTTTCTTCCACAATTCCTTTTCTTCCAGCGTCATCTGCAACCCAGCAGCCAGCATGCTATTGACATTGTCGCATTTCCAGACAGCACATGTGGATGTTGAACGTATTCTCTATTCCATTATCTCTGCTTCAGAATATGTACAATGTGTTCTGGTGTTTCCTCATTGTCGTCATTTTTCCTCAGATGAGCAAACGGCAACTCGGAATGATGTTTCATGGAAATCGTCCGTCGAAAAATTTTGCACGTCCTGGCTATGCACATCCAGGATATAGGCATATCCCAGGATATGGTCCCGCATTTCCCAGGATATGGCAGCCCATATTCTGGGATGTGGCCATATCCTTGCCCATATCATCGTCATACCGCACGGTATCGGCGTCCACATCCTAACAATGGCTCGTCCATATCTAGGATACGCCCATATCCCGGGTATGCATGTCCGGAATTTGTCGCGCTCATCATATTCGATATCCAGAGTATGGGGATCCCACACAACCTGCTCCATGTCCAGGACATAGGGCTCTTAACGACGTTCACCAGATCCAATGCCAAATAATCATGGGTGCCGTGGCCTTGGGCTGTTCTGGTCTCTGCGTAATTTGCCTTGTGAACGTTGACGCACTTTCGATCGAGCCATTGCATCTTTTCTTTGCTCTGTATTCGTTGCCTCAAAGCTTCAGGGACCGCCGTTGAACAAACAACAGTGCAAACACTGCCGCAATGCCAACGCAACACAGGCCCCCACTTTCCATCTGACCACATGGCCTTTGATCGTTGAGACCGCCGCGGAGAATTGTCGGACAAGAAGAGAGACACCGCCAACACAGCTTTCTGATGTGGTGCACCATTGGGCAGGGGCCCAAGTGGCTTCGGCCAATGCGCATTATCTCACCCCCGGATTTGAACACGTTTCTGATAATCAGCAACAGTTCTGCACTCAAGCACGAGAGAGATCCTGGTTTGTGCGGTCTGCTCACCATGAATCTGGAGTCGTCCACCACGGCCTCTTCCATGAGCGACCACTTCAGAGGGACGCCCATGTTCCTCAGCATGATTTCCGCGCTGAAGATTCCCGGCACCGGATCTCGCAGCTGGGTGACAGAAAAAGGAGGAAGCGTCAAGCAACTCAGCCGTGCAGCTGTGTATCCTTGCAACTGCAGGAAGAGGTACGCACAATGGCTTGTGGCTACCTGAACCACCAAACTGCCCTGTGGTGGTGACCGCAAAGAACATCGCAGAAATAGCAATACACAAAGCGTGCCAACGAATCTCAGTGGGTGGAAGCCTGCAGCTGGTGTCTTGTTGCGGCGAGGCAGCACTTGCCGCGACGTGCATCGGTGCGAGTGCAACGAAACATGCAGCATCCACTAGGGAAAAAAGGACCAAGTAACACGTGTTCAAACGTGTACAAAATTTACGGGTTTGTGTTATTTTTGTGTTCTTAGCCTGCAGAACGTTGATGAAATGTGTTTTATGGGATTAACTATCTTGTTAAGTGGTTTCCGCCCAGGGCGACGAGGGGCGGGCGCGCTGGCCCACTTGGGCCAGCGCTGCTTAAAGTACAATGGTTTTGGCGGCCCCTTGGGGTTTCTGTCCCCCTGTACCTTGGGTCAGTGGCTGGTCCGTCGCGTTCAAGGAGGGCCAGTGGTTTTTGGCGCCCTTGGGAGCGGCGGTCTTTGGCGGGCGCGTTTGTGTTATTTTTGTGTTCTTAGCCTGCAGAACGTTGATGAAATGTGTTTTATGGGATTAACTATCTTGTTAAGTGGTTTCCGCCCAGGGCGACGAGGGGCGGGCGCGCTGGCCCACTTGGGCCAGCGCTGCTTAAAGTACAATGGTTTTGGCGGCCCCTTGGGGTTTCTGTCCCCCTGTACCTTGGGTCAGTGGCTGGTCCGTCGCGTTCAAGGAGGGCCAGTGGTTTTTGGCGCCCTGCTGGGGAGGCGACGCGGTCTTTTGGCGGAGGCCTCACCAGGCTCACCCCTCGGTCCCCACCTTATCTTGTTTCGCTTCGCGCCAACCCTTTGGCACAACCCGGACCCACCGAGTGGGTCTCGACCTCCGGCTCTTTGCCGAGTTCTTGCCTATGCACCCGTCCCCTGCGGAGCAGTGGTGCCGGGAACAAGCTCGCCGGTTCAACAACCGTATTCCGAGCTCCGCTATCGAAGCCTGCTGGTTGCCCGACCCGGCGCTCCTCCCCCAGTCCGTCAACAACCCGGTCGCCCGACCGGTGGGCGCCCGTTCGCCGTACTGGTTCGACGTCCGCGACACCGCCGAGGGGAGTGCGGTCGCCACCTCTTTGGGCGCCAACTCCGGGTACTTCCAGGAGTACGCGGGCTGGGCTCCTCCGGTCTCCTGGCTGTTCGACACGACCGCGGCCTTTGTGGAGGTGGCCGCCCATCCCGATCTCCCGGCGTCCGTATGGGAATTCCTCCTCCCCTACCTTTACTCGTACGTGGAGGTCACCGAAGCTCTCCACGACCAGCTCTCCTTGCAGCGCATCCACGCCAAGCACAAGGGCTCGGGCCTGGAGGGATCGTGGCGGGCCATTCAGGCGGAGATCCGCCTTGCCGACCGCGGTCTGCGCTTTGGCACCGCTCGCGTCGACGGGACCATCGAGCGCATGCGCAAGGAGCTTCTGACGCAAGAATTGAAGCACGCCACCAAGACCGCGGCCGCCAAGAAGTCTACCTCCCCCCCGTCGAGCTCGGCCCCCTCGACCGGCCCCAAGGCCCACAAGGGATCTCGCCCTCCGGGCCCCTCTCCCAAGCCGGCTCCGTGAAGCTTTTCCCGTACAACCGGGTCCGCGGACGCCTTTCGGCGTGGCGTCGCATCGGCGCCCCCTCCCGCATCCTCCAATGGATCCATTCCGGGACTCCGCTTCTGTGGGGACCGCGTGGACCGCCGGCTCCCTTCGACGAGGGCTCCTACCCGCTCCGCTCCTCGGCGGAACGGGCGGCCTGGCAATCCCTTCGAGCGGACTACCTCTCTTCGGGCGCGATCACCAAAGTGGAGCCGGGCCCCCACTCGCGCATATCTCGGGCCTTCCTGGTGGAGAAGGGGCGGGAAGATGGGGTCATGAAGTACCGCCTTTGCATCGATCTGCGACGGGTCAACCGTCACCTTCGCAAGGTGGGCCTTCGTTA